GTTGCAGACTATTCCTTTACACTGTGTGAAGATATGTCACTGTGATTGGCTTAGTAAAGAGCTGAATGGCCAATAGCTAGGCAGGAAGAGGTTAGGTGGGACTTTTGGGGACAGAGGTCTCAGGGAAGGTCTGGTTGTTCCTGGTGCAGAGGAAGCAGGACATGCAGGAGGAGAGGTAAAAGTTTGTGACAGCATGTAGATTACTAGAAATGGGTTGATTTAAGTTATAAGAGCTAGTTAGGAACAAGCCTAAGCTATAGGCCGAGCTTTCCTAATTAATAATAAGTCTCCGTGTCATGATTTGGGGACTGGCAGTCCAAAAAGCCTGATACAGGTGTTGCCACATTTTTTTTTTTTTTTTTTTTTTTTTTTTTTTTTTTTTTGGTTTTTCGAGACAGGGTTTCTCTGTAGTTTTGCACCTTTCCTGGAACTCACTTGGTAGACCAGGCTGGCCTCGAACTCACAGAGATCTGCCTGCCTCTGCCTCCCGAGTGCTGGGATTAAAGGCGTGCGCCACCACCGCCCGGCAGGTGTTGCCACATTTAAAGCGGGCTCCATGTGGAGTCTGTCGGTGTCCCATCTGTTTGAAGGTGGCCTCAGGGCTGCTGCCAGAAACTGGTATTTCTTTTATGAGAAGTCCATCCCATCCTCCCCTGCTCTTCCTTCCATTAAACACCTTAAATGCCATAGTCAACAGACCTCTCTGAGGGATTTGAGGGCCGTCATCTAGACTCTTCAAGTTTTCTCCTAATAGCTGGGGTGACTGGGAAAGTAAATGAGTGTTGAGGACAAGCGTGCCCTCTTGAGCACTAGGGCCCGGTGCGAAGGTGGACATGCTGCTGGAGCTGAGAATCTTGCAGGCAACAGGAAGTGGTCAAGTGACAGTCACAGGGGGTGGTATCCCGAATATAGGAAGCCTCAAACCCGCCCCCACAGTGACACACTATCTTCAACAAGACCACATCCACTCCAACAAAACCAAACCTCCTAATAGTGCCACTCTCTATGGGGGCCACTTTTCTTTCCAACTACCACAGGCCCAGGCAGCCATCCAGACCCTTTCCTTTCCTTCAGAGAGGAGAGTAGAGGGAAGAATAACATAGAGATTACACCAGGTGAGGCTACAGATTTGGTGAGGAACCTGAATTCCTTGATGAAGTTAGAAGGGTCATCAGGGAAAGAACGGAGGCACTTTTCTCCCTGGGAGAGATTCACCATAGAAAAAGGGACATGGAGTATGCAGCTGAGGCCCACCATTTCCCTGAGGGGATAAAGATCATCTGTATGGGAGTGGGTATGGCTGATCTGGGGTGATGGAGAAAGCAAGGGTGAGGCTGAGTCAGGGTGAAAGGTGGAGCAGGCTGGAAGGGCACCTGTGGGTGAGGCTAGGGTGATGCCCATGGAGGGCCAGGCTGAAGCGGCACCCACAGGGATTGTCCTCCATGGAAAGGAGAGGGAGCTGAGGTCCTGGTCAGCTTTGGGTCAGGTTTGGCCTTTGCCAGGAGGATTTGGTGGCCGTGACAGGAGAAGAAGGCTTGGACGCAGGGAGTCTCGGGCCGCTTGCCGAAGCGTCGGCAGAATTTATCAAGAGCAGTGAGAATTTAAAGGTCTAACGTCCCATTTTCAGTCCATTGAGACTGACTATCAAGCTTGTACTGAGGTCAAGCTATATTGTAGTTTAAAAAAAATAAGGTGGCAAGGTTAATGGTATCTGAGTTCGAGGAGGGAAGAAGAATTGGGAGGGCAGGTGGGAGGAGTTTAATTTTGAATGAGAGGAGCCCATGGTCAGTTAGAGGGAGGAAGGGCCACACCCTTGGAGAAAGGGTGAGTGTAAAGAATTCCCAGAAGCAGAGCAAAGAGGACACAGGAGAGACTCTGGAAAGGGTTGTTCCTTTCCAAGTCCAGGTATGAGGGGCCAGAGATAGGAGTCCTGCCAGGAGGATCCCAGCAGCATAGTAATGGGGACACAGAGAGGGTGACATGGGAAGGGCTCAGTGCCATGGGATGGAGTCTCGATCCACGGATGTTTCCAGGGGGCCAAGACTTGTCGGACAGTGGTCTAGGGTCGCAGTGGACAGGTACATGTGGAAGGGTGTCCATAAGTGCATATGGAGGCCGCCTGACAAACTGGTACAACTTCAACTGAGTGAGTGAGATAACCAAGATCAGTGTAACAAGGTGAGTAAAGACCAAAAACGTGAAATATTTTAAAAATAAAAGTAAAATAGATTTAAAATTATAGTGAAACGGTTACGACAGTGAAAAGAAAAATGCGCAACGATGTGAAAGGCTGAGTGTGCACAAAGTGTGTTTACTAAGAGAACATTTTTTTTTACAAGGAGGGGCGAAATAAAGCACTTGAGTGGCTTCCTTCTGGGTCCTCTAAAACTGGAATCTGCCCAGTAGAGGGGATGGGGAGAGACAGGTGCGGAACCAGGATAGCAGCAGCAAACGTTGAACAAACACAGCTGCTCTCCCTGCAGCATTTCCCTTCTTTGTGGATTAGCGGCCTCTGCTGGCCACACTTAGTTTTGCAGTCTATGGGCTGGGCAGGTTCTCTCCTCCTCTCGAGGTCCCCTGTCTTCCGCTCCCCTCCAGTGAGGCTAAAATGCTTGACCAGGGGATGTCTCCCAAGTGGCGTGCTCTGCTGTTTGATGGAGCAAACACAGCCGAGATCTGCGTGGGAGGACCTGTCTTCGTACCTTCAGAACCCACTCAGCGTTAAATCTGCGCGTGGACGGATAAAGCTATGGCTGATCATGCAGTCTCGTTCCCTAGGCGACGGACCTCACAGTAGGTCTGGCTCCAGAGGCGGGTGGATCCGCTCCAGACCTTCAGCCCGTAGCTATCTCACTGTCTTAGTTAACTGTTCGGTTGCTGTGTTCTATTACTAGTCTATTACAACCAAGGCAACTCCTACAAACAAAAGCAGTTAACTGGGGGCTTGCTTGCAGTTTTATAGGGTTAGTCCATGATGATCACGGCAGGAAGCAGACAGACACAGCACTGGAGCAGTAGCTGAGAGCTTACACAAGATCCGATCTGCAGGCAGCACATAGAGGAGACACTGGGCCTGACATGGGCTTTTGAAACCTCAAAGCCCACCACTAGTGACACATCTCCTCCAACGAGGCCACACCTCCTAATCCTTCTAATCCTTCTGGACCAGTTCACCACCACCCGGGGATGAATCATGCAAATACCTGAGCCTATAGGGGCCATTCTCGTTCAAACCACCACACTCACTCTCCAGTCAGGAGATGGGCTCAGCTCTTGGCCACTTGAGGATGTATTCACAGTACCCTTGGTGCCAAAGCCAAACCTCCTGCCTCCTGAACTATCCAGCCTGTCAATGGCTGGCCCTTCCCCTCTCTGTGATGGCCTCCTGGGACTTCAGGAGTGTGTGTGTGTGTGTGTGTGTGTGTGTGTGTGTGTGTGTATGTGTGTGTGGTGGTGGGGGTGGGGGTGGGGGTGGGGGTGGTGTTCATCACAAGCTTCCTTACTTGTGATTGCTCCTTTTAATCAAGCCTATGGGGAAGTTTGGTCTTAAACAATAGGTTCCCTCTCAGAAACAATGGCCAGCCACAACTCCGTAAAACAGATCTGTTACGCGCTGCTAATCCCTCCCTCAGGAGCAGCCAGTGTCTCACCGGAACTCCCAACTGGTATTTGACGCTTTCAAGGGCCCTGAGCCTGTCCTGTAGACAGGCTTGGCAGTTGCCTTTCCATGGTCACCTGGCTTACCTTTGGGATGAGGCTTCTGCTTCCGCTCCACTGGTTCCTCTCACTGGCCAATTTTGGTTGGCTTGTCTTTTGACAGGGTCTCCTTAGGTAGGCCAGGTTGACCTTCTTGTTTCAGCCTCTAAGTACTAGGTGTACAGGTACATGCCACCAAGCCAGACTTGCAGTTTTTCATTTGTTTGGGGTTTGTCGTTCTTTGTTTTGAGATAAGGTATGTATACCTAGCTGGCCTCAATAGTAGCTGAGGCTGGCCTTGAACCCCTGACGCTCCCGCTTCCACCTCCTAAGTGTTGGGATTACAGGTGGGCACCATCATACCTGGTCCCAACTCCTAGTTTTTAAAATGAATCCACAACCCAGGAACATTTGTCTAAACACTTTAATTAAAATTCAGTGTACTATGAAAGCTGGTGTGTACATAAAGTTTCCTGTTTACTGAGAAAACAGCTTAGACCCGTGGCTGAGCATATTTTGATAAAGAAGTTTTAAACAGCTTCTTGATTTTAATTAACAGCGATGGCGTGTGACTCATTATCTACCAAAATGCAAGACACACTGAGGAGATTAAGAGGGGAGATTCAACAGTCACACATACACGTCCCGACTTCAGGATTACAGCCGTCTCTGAGCTGTGTCATTTAAGCCTCAGTGCCCAGCCAGTCCAATTTGATTTGGAGATTAATGCCTGTCTCCAACTCAGTTGACCTAATATCAGGGTTCTGTGAGCGTGTTACCCTGAATGAGAGAGCTCGGTAAAATTAAGACACTGCTGATCTCATTTCAAAATTAATGTTCTTCCCAGGAATCCCGCGAACCTCTCGCTTTATATAATAAGCAGTCTATTTTCAAGGACTAGCATCTAAAAGAGGGGGTGCATCCATAGAGAACAGATTCCTTAGGAAGCAGGACCTCACAGTGGCAGGGTCAGGAAGAAGGAAGCAGGACCTCACAGTGGCAGGGTCAGGAAACATTCTGCCGTCTACTGAAGGGCGGCAAGTTTACCTTATAGGAACATCTGAAATACTTGCCGCAGGCAGAGGCGTTCTCTATGTCCTGGGCTCCAGATTCTAGGCTGCAGATATGACAATGCTACATGAGGATACTAGGGTTAAAAAAAATATGACTAGACTCCCACGCTCACCCTGCTTAAAAAAAAAATAAGGTATACCAGTGAGATTAGATCTGTCTAGGATTCTTTCTTTTGGTATTGAGGATCAAACCCAGGGCCAGGCAAGTGCTCTACAGTAAGGCAAACCCCATTCTGTACAAGACAAATTTTATTACTGTGAGCTCTCGAATGTGCGTGTGTGTGTGTGTGTGTGTGTGTGTGTGTGTGTGTGTGTGTGTGCACCACAGGTATGTGTGGAGGTCAGAAGACAACTTTGTGGGGCTGATTCTTTTCCCCTTCGCAGGGGTTTCTGAGATTCATGTCATCAAGCTTTCATGGTGGGTGGCAAGGGCCTCTACCCACTGCGACCTCTCAACGCCCTGCGATGTTATCCTTAATAATGTGAGACTGGAAACAACCCAAATGCTCACTGATGAACAGTGGCTGAAATGTCACCACACATCTGAACAGGGGACCGTAGTCATCACCAATGAACCAGTGCATTCCCCTCTTTTTCAGATAGGATATTGTCAGGTATCCCTGGCTGACTTCAAACTTGTGATTCTCCTGCCTCAGCCTCTAGTGCTCCACTACGCCTAGCTACAAGCATATTCTCTAAGTACTGACTAGTTTTGTTTTTTTTTTCCTACAGTTGTCACTTGGGGCTCCAGAGTGGCCAGGGAGGATGAGTGCCAGGAATAGCACCGAGAACTTTGAATGTCATCACCTACTAAAATAAGCAGAACTTGGAAAGGGTAAGATAAAAATGCCAATCATCATTACCCGCAGTGTGCAGAGTACCCAATCCCCTGCTCTGCCGTCACCGAAGACGACTGTGTTTACTGCTCTGGGATCCAGATGCTTACAGGAACTTGGGAACTCCCACGCTGTTTTGCTATTGGCTTGTTTTGAGGCAGATTCTCACTATGCAGCCCGGGCTGACCTTGAACCAAGAATCCTCCTGCCTCAGCCTCCCCAGTACTGGGTTTGCAGGTGTGCGCCCCTACTCCAGTTCTTCCCTATCACTTAGACCAAGGGTGGGTTCTGGTGGGGACCCTGCCATATCACCAACCCTCGACTTTTCTAGTAGAGCTCTGCTGATGTCGGAGCCCTCTTCTATGCCCTCCTAAAACCCTTTAAAAGTGCAAGGCGGTTTTCTTCTTGAAAATAGCAACTCTGTGTGTGTGTGTGTGTGTGTGTGTGTATGTGTGTGTATGTGTGCTCCACGGATCAAGAACACCACCACCATTTGATGAAATTTGAGGGTTTCCACAACAGGCCTGTGAGGAGGTGCCCTTGGGCTAAGAAGCTTGTCCAGGCGGGTGGTTTCACAGCAGGGCGCCCACCCGGGATGGGGATCATGGGGATCACGAGGCACTGCAGGCCCCTCACTCGGCCTCCTCTTTCTTCTCCTCCAGCATCTCCACCGACAGCGTCTGCTCCCCGGGATCCGGGCCGGGGCTGACGTGGATCCTCACCGAGGGCTCCGAGGGCGCAGCTGCCTCCTCCCCTGTGCCTCCCTCGGGCTCCCCCGGGGCCGGGGCCGGGGCCGGGGCCGGCGGTGGAGAGCGCGGGGCCGGGGGCTCCTGGGGCGCTGGGGGCTCTTGGGGCTTCTCCGGTTCTGGTGGTTTCTGGGACGCAGGTTGGTCCGAGGCTCCGGAGCCCTCCTCTCCCCCAGCATCCTGCGAGCTCTTGGCCTGAAACCCCAGAGAGAGAGAGTGAGGTGAAACATTCTCCAAAGGGGCATAAAGGAATCTTTCAAGCCAACTTGCCCCCACCTTCGGGGACTTCCAGAGGACAGTGGCACACAGGAGGTGGAAGCTGCTGGCCTAGCAGAGCCGCATCAGGATAGTATAGGAGAAACAACGTAGTACTGACTGATTGAAGTTTGAGGATGAAAGGCCAGCATGTTTGGGGGTAAATCTTGGGGATCTGTTTAATTTTGAGACAGTGTCTCCATATGTAGCCCGCTGACCTTAAATTTGGTGTGGAGAACAAGTTGGCCTCGAACTCAGGGTCCTTCTTCCTCAGCCTATCGATTGGATGCTAAGACTGCAGGTGTGAGCTACCCTGCCCGGCTCTTTAGGGATAATTTAGACTATTATGGACTGGAAGCCTGTGTTAAGTTGTGCATTCGAGCACAGATCCATCTCCCCAATTTATGTGGGGAGCTGATAACCATGAGCGCTGGCCTCTTCAAAGGCTTAGCCACCCTGGCACCCACTCCTCCTCCTCCTCTTTTGGTTTTTTTAAGACAGGGTTTCTCTGTGTAGCCCTAGCTTTCCTGGATCTCACTCTGTAGACCAGGCTGGCCTCCAACTCAACTTCCTGCCTCTGCCTCCTGAGTGCTGGGATTAAAGGCATGTGCCACCACCGCCTGGCTATACACCCACATTTCTTATTAGTAATGAATGGTTCTGGGGTCGTGAGAAAAACTTGGAGCACATAGGTAAAGCTGAGTGGGCAGGAGACCCTGTGGCCTGGCCATCTTTCTGGAAGGTTCCAAAGGTTGCAGCCCTTACAGAAGAATGGGGTAGGATAACAGAAAAATTAGGCTGAGGTGATCCTGGTCCAGGGGCTTGGTGGCAGCTGCAGCCCCTAGTACTTCCTCCATGGGTGTTGTTGGCCATCGATAAGTAATTGGGGGGAGCTTTTGTTTTTAATCCCCAGGTTCTCACCTACTTGCTCTTTCACCCTAGTTCTGTAAGGAAGGCAGTGGAGAGGGAACAACCCTAGAAGATGCTCAGCTGCCCAAGACCCAAGGGAGAGCAGTCAGTGGGGTTGGGTGGAGCAGAGAGCCCTGTAGTTTGCACAGTCGTGAGTACTAAAGAAGGGGGAGGAGTCAGGATGGTTCTAGAATCCAAAGCGGCTCTGGAGACCTGCTGCTGCTTCTGCCCTGCTTCTGCATGTCTTCCTGCACTTGTTCTGCCCTGCGTGGGCACCCTGAATTCTCAAGACACTCCACCCTGGGCAGGGTGTTCAGATGCAACTTCTGAAGCCGAGAGATACAAACAGGAATGGGAGAATCACGGGAAGGCCGATCTCATGCTCTGCCATGTTCAAATACTTTGAAAAAGGAACCACTGCTTTACCTCTGCGGTCCTGCATGCTATCGCGAGTCCTCTGAGTCTCAGAGAGTGCAGGGCTCTTTCCCAGAGTGCCAGAGCCTCTGGGCTTGTCTAGTAAAGAGCTCCTTCACTGCCCTTCTGCTCCGGCTTTCTAAATCTCACAGGACACTTTTCTTAGAACATTGATGGAACAGGAGCGGAAACCTGTCTTAGCTGAAGCCTTTTGCCGCTCTGAGAGAGTCCTTGGGTTCATGTTCACTCAACCCTGAAACAGCAGCCAGCACAAAGACTCCAACGTGCAGACTCGACCTTGACCATCACGGCAGTCACATCTTTCCTCTGTCTGGGGCCATTGATGGGCAATGTCCTGGAATCCCAGGTGGCTTTGATGTCACTTGCCCAACGTCTGCTGTCAAATGAGCCCTGAATGTGTCCCCTGCTTCACACCCCTGGACTGAGGCTGAGTTCTCTGGGCTTCTCTGTTGGCCACACAGACTGCCGTCTGCTTCCAGACTGTCGGGAGCAGGTGAAATTAGTACTGTTATTCTAATAGGTCTTCTTGGCTTCCATCACAGAAGAAGAAAACCCTTTTTTTAACGTCCCTTTAGGGTCACAGGAGTGGAAGCCATTGTCACTGTGCATAGCTACGGGATTTTTTTTTTCCTTCCAAATCATTTAAATGGTCACGGACACGATTAAATAGAACACCACTGTCATCTGGGGAGGGATGCTCCCAGCTTATCCACACTTCTCCCACCAGCCCCAAAACCTTCCCCAAAGAACCCACTCAGGACTGCCAGTCCAGGAGTGGGCAGGTGTGGGACACACACCTCCCTGCCCCACTGGCTCAGGAACTGGCATGTGGCCCAGCACTGACTGAGCACAATGAGTCCTGGGGACTTTGGCTCTACTCTCCGGGGAAGATGCACTTCCTGTTAGGGTTGCCACATGAAAGGATGTGGAGCCATCAGATAAGGAGAGAGAGATGGCGGATGGGAAGACTAGTTCCGCCACTTGAGATCCAGCCACACTTGAACTCGCCAATTATTAAATCCTCTTACTTTCCTATTCGGTCAACACAATGTCTTACTTCGGGACTGTTTGAGACAAGGCCTCATAATGTCGCTCAGGCTGCCTTGAAACTACGTAGCCCAGGCTGGCCTAGAATTCGTAGCAACCCTGCAATCCGCTTCTTACCCATGAGAGCTATGATCCAGGTTTGAACCAAACAGGGCCTGCTGCTGTCAAAGAGACTTAGAAGGTCCCATGGCTGTGTGGTCGGCTCTTGGAGGTCCGGAAGCAAACTGGCTAAGGGGGAGGAGCCAGGTCCCAACCATGTTACCTGCTCCAGCAGCTGCTGCTGCCGGGCCGCCGCCTCCAGTGCGGCCAGCTCCTTGAGCCGGGCTCTCAGGTGGGCGAGCTTGCCACCCTTGGCCCCCCTGGCACCCATCTTTCCTGCTGCAGCGAGGGCGGCATTGAAGAGCTTCGGGGTGCCCGCCCGTGGGGGCAGGATGAGCACACTCTTCTCTTCCTTCGGCTTGTTGTTGTTTCTCAGCATGCGCCTGAAAGAGAGCCACACCCTCTTCTATCCAAAGCGCAGTGGGGAGAAGCCCATCTGCGCCTGCGCCTGCGTGGAACCCTTTGCGTTGGCCCTACATGGCGGGGGTGGCAATAGCGTTGGTGCCTTTGGCTGGTGATTTCGGGGTGCTTGTGCTGGGGCAAGCACAGTGCTGAGTGCTTAGGCATAGACGGATGATTGGAACTGCCATAATGAGGTGGGCTTATTGTCTGAGCCGAAGGGATAAGAACACCGAGGTTCACTGCCGGGTGGTGGTGGCGCACGCCTTTAATCCCAGCACTCGGGAGGCAGAGGCAGGCAGATCTCTGTGAGTTCGAGGCCAGCCTGGTCTACAGAGTGAGTTCTAGGAAAGGCTCCAAAGCTACACAGAGAAACCCTGTCTCAAAAAAATATAAAAAAACACTGAGGCTCAGAGAAGTCGATTACCTTGCTTGAGGTCACAATGGACAGATTGAAGGACACGGTTATAGTTCAGATATGGTTTGAGGGCATCTCCAAGGGTTCGTAGACTCGGGTGATATTGGGAGGGAGGGAGGGAGGAAGGGAGGGAGGGAGGGAGGGAGGGAGGGAGAGAGAAAGGGAGGGAGGGAGCATGGAACTTTTTAGAGGCGGGGCCTGTTGGGAAGTCTTTAGTGATCTAGTTCTCCTGGGACTCTGGCTAGTTCTCACAACAGGGGTTGTTATAAAAAGTCATCCTGGCCCCCTCTCCACTTTATCTGGCAGGGATTATTGTGCCCCTGAAAACTGAGGAAATGGAGGCTCGGAATAGGTGCAGGGAGTGACATGCCTCAGGTTGCCAGGAAGTGGCCCTGGTGAAACCAGACACAGGATCAGCTGTGACCCAGCACCCTGTTTCTTTGAATAAGGATAGAATTTTCCATCAAACAGAGCCTGCGCCTTTTACTGGGAATTTTTCAAGCTATGAATATGCGATGATCAGCTTGGCAGTCCAGTGGGCGAGACTGCTAATTGGCAAATTCATTCATCAGGATTCCAGCACGACTTGTTTGTTTTTTTGTTTTTCGTTTTTTTAATGAGGCCGCTGCCGGCTGCTTAGCTAATCAGAGCCAATGGGCTTACATTGTGTGCAGTGATAGTAATCAGCTGAGATTTGCATTTCCCCCTGGGTTTCCCCGGAGACTCAGCTCGATCATCCATCAGAGGCCTTGGAAGCAGGCTGGCTCACAAGCAGCCTGGGCACTGTCACCTGTGTCTTGTGAGCCCATAACTCATGCATGACAGGAGGCAAGCAGGCTCAGTGTGGTGCTGAAGTGACAAGGAGCAGTGGAGGGGACAGCTGCTGGCAGGTGCCAGCTGCTCTGCTTCGGGTCGGTGCAGACAGATGTGCCCACATGAATGGAATTCTCCGTGACCCAGGCCTCTGCTCTGGAAAGGGCCTGAAGCAGGAGAGCAAGGACTAAAACATACGTCAGTTTTAAAGACAAACAGAGAGAGAAAACATACGTTTAAAAAAAAAATGTCATTGGGCGTGTTTCTTTGAAAAGGATCTGTGATTCCAGTCTATCCTCTAGCTGTCTCTTATCTCTGTCTCTGTCTCTGTCTCTCTGTCTCTGTCTCTCTCTCTCTCTCTCTCTCTGTTCCACCACATGTCCCCACCACAAGGGCCTTCCTCACCACAGGTCCAAAGCACTCAAGTCAGGCAAACATGGAAACCTTTAAAACCAACAAGAGTCAAAACAAGCTTTTCCTCCTTTTGAGCTGATCTTCTCAGGGACAGAGTGCCACCTTGTTTGACCCCAGTTAGAGCGCACGCTAGGCAACTAAGTCTACGGCCACCCCGTGTAAGTCTATGAGTGATCGCAAGAGTCTACTATTAGAACCTGGGTCACACTGCTGCTCCGACCACGCCCACCTGCTGCTCCGACCACGCCCACCTGCAGCAGTCCCTTTCTATTGGAAAGGAAATAGCGAACCCTTTACCAAGAGCCTGTTTGTGAATCTTTAACCCCCTAACCGGCTCCCCGGTGCCTGTGGGTTTCTATACCATAGGGTGCTTCCTTAGTCACTCAATTTGAAACCTCATCTGAAGCACTAGAAAGCAAAAGTCTGCTTTTCTAAAAATAAAATAACCAATTTCCAAATACAAAACTAAAACACAGGTGCACATACACCTGCATTGTTATTCACAGTTGCCAAGGGAGGTGCTCTGTGGCTGCAGATGACTCTTCAATATGCTACCATCCCCATAACAAGAGTAAGAAAACAGCGGTGTGGGCCTGCCTGTTTCTGACAAAGTAAACACGCCGGAGAAGCAAACATTGGGATCTAATGAGCTTAGCCAGACCAGGCAGCGCCGGCCTGGGAGCCCTGCTACCTGGGAAGCTGAGGCAGGCAGACGGAGACGGCAGTGCTTACTGAGCTACGAAACAGCAGGAATGACAGTCTAGAAGACCCTGCCCCAGTACCAAACCAGATACAGTAAGCTTAGAGGCTGGAGGTTAAGCTCAGTATTAGAGCACCTGTCCACGAGGCCCTGGATACGAAAGGAAGGAAGGAAGGAAGGAAGGAAGGAAGGAAGGAAGGAAGGAAGGAAGGAAGGAAACAAAAAAAATCCCCCAAACAAACCTAACACATTTAGCCCCTTATTGGGGCAGGTGACAAGCTGAGGAAAACTTGTGACAGCTTTGTGCTTTGGGAGTCTGTTAATAGTTTATGTTCTGCCAGTCACGGCAACACCTGCCTGTGGTCTCCCACTGAGGAAACTGAGACAGGAAGTTCAAAAGTTCAAGGCTAGCAAGGCACCACCATGCCTCTAATTCCAGCACCGGGAAGCCAGGTGAATCTCTCTGTACTCCAGACCAGGTAGGGCTACACAGAGAGACTCTGTCACAAAAACATCAACTACAGTCAGGGTGGTTGCAGCCTTAAAACGGAATGTAAGTCCAACAAAAACAAAACAACCCGGTGCATTGCATGAGAACTAATCAAATGCCTATCCGCTCCCCTGCTGAGGATCAAGTCCAGAGTCCCAGGCACACCAGGCAAGGCCTCTGTCACGGAGCCATACTCCAGCCCTTCACCCAAATAACTTCAAACACAATACTTTTACCGTGGATACTCCAGGCGCAAGCAAAATTAACTTTGTCGGATATGAACTCTACTTGGAAGGCTTGTTTTCGTACAGTGGATGGGTTAAACATTCTGAAACATTGTTATCATCGGACTGAACAAATGAATAAATGCAACAGGGATAAAGGCAGCCAAATGTCTCAGTATCAGGAAGGAGGTTTAGAAACATAGAAAGGGAGGCTAGAACGAACTGAAGGGCTGATCTGAAATTGTTTTATACATCTATCAATTCATCACTATCTACAGAAAAATCAATGTGGACATGTATGTGCAACATATGTGGAAATATTCATATTGATGTACACAGGTGTGAGGTATCCTTAGCTCCATTCACGAGAAAGCCTTGTAGAACCCCGCAACAGTGAGTACCCTCCAGGTTCAGAGCTTCTTTCAATTTCACTTTTACTTCATTATTTTGAGAAAGGGTTTCACAATGGAGCTCTGGCTAGCATGGAACTTGAAGCGCTGACCTGACTGGTCTTGAACTTGCAGCAATCCTCCTGCCTCTGCCTCTGGGATTATAGGCATGAGACACCACACCAGGCCTCCATCTTGGTTTCTAAAAACCAGTGGTGGGCTGCCGCTAGATATTTCAGTGGTAAAGCACACATGTCTAGCATGGGTAAGGCCCTGGGCTTCATCCCCAACCCCCGTGCCCCACGAAACTCCTCCAAACATTTTCCACCAGAAGAAATTTACTTCCTTGGAGACAATGCCATTTCCGGGGTGAGGGGGCAGTTGGTGGGGGAGCCCAAGGTTAGCCAGGCTGCCTTGCTGCGCCTGTTATTTTCCATAGACACAAGGAAATGTTGAATTAAAATGGGACATCAAAGGATGACAAAAGTCAAGAGTTCTCACTGGCCACACCAGAGTGACGGAAGCCTCAGAATAACTCTTACAGGTGTTCTAACACAAAGCAATGCCTGCTCATGTAATAAACAAGCACCAGGAGAGGCGGGAGGCTCTTCCCTATAGCAGAGTGTAAGCCAAGGAGTGAGAGGCAGGAGGTTGGACAGGGATGCCTCACAGAGACCACTGAGGAGCAAGGAGCTATGGGCAGCTTGGTGTCCACCAAGTGCCAGGTGCAAGCTGGCTGGGTGGTGGTGGAGAGGAGCAGGGACTTCTATGCGGTTCCAAAGAGGTCCTCACTAATTGCTTGTCAAGTACAAAGAAATAGTAACTTTGTAGTACAGAAAAGCGTGTCCATGTGATTGAGGTGAACTCATTGCCTGGGAAAAACTCAGGCCATGTGTGCTGCTTTGAGGGGCACATTCACCCCTGGTCATTTCTGCATCAGATGCAGAGCCAAGAAAACATCACCAGAAAACACCAGACACACCTAATCCAAGGAGCATTCTAAAACCTAGCTGGCCCGTTGGCTGCAAAGAGGTCAAAGCCATTAGAGACAGACACCATCAGGAACTGGCCCAGGTCAGAGGAGACAGACTCAGCACACTAATGCAGGACAGGGCCTTTGACTTGTTCCAGGAAGAAGAAAGCTACCAGACAATTTCAACATGGATTAGAGATGAGAGAGAACAGTATGCTTTCCACAGCAAATGCTCTGATGTTCACAACGGTATTACAGCAACACGAAAGAACCTGCTTCTCCCAAGCATTGCTCAAAACCTGAAAAGAAAAAAGAAAGAGGGATTCTGTACCTGGCCTTCTTCCGGAGTAACTTCTGAGATTCAGGATAATGCACCAAAATTTCATTCAAGTCCTTCTTGTCCAGAATGAAAAGGTTGGTGAACCCATGGGCCACCACATTGGCCGTGCGCCGGTTCCCACCCCCTACGGCCAGCAAGCTGGAATAGAAAAGGGAGGAGAATGAGACCATTTGGAGGCTGTGCTTTAGAGAGACTGTCTTAGGTCTTTGTTGATGTTGTTTTGTTTTGAGACAGGGTCTCACTATGTAGCCCTGGCTGTCCTGGAATTCATTATGTAGACCAGGCTGGCCTTGAACTCTCAGAGATCCTCCTGCCTCTGCCCCCTCAATGCTGGGATTAAAGAATTTTAACTGTTTCTTTCAGGCTGATTCGCTAGCCTCCCTAGTAACTGGGACTACAGGCGTACATCACCTAGTGGCTTGGGTTTTGTTTACATTCACTAGACTCCGTATTTCCCCCCCTTCATGGTACATCATGGCAGCACCCATCCTACACATACTGGCTGGAACCAGTGCTGTACTCACTGTAGTTCCCCCTGATCCTAGCCCCCAGCCCTTGCCAAGGTGCATTTGACACCCGCCGTCCCCCTCCCCCTGTCCCCTCCCCCACCCCCCACCGCCGCCGCCACCACTGACCTTATCTCTCCAAACACCGATCCGGCTTTGAGTGTCACCAGCACAGCCTTGCCATCCGGGCCGCCCAGCACCTGCACCTGCCCCGCCTGGATGATGTACATCTCTCGGCCAATCTCCCCCTGGAACAGAAGAGGGCTGAGTCCCACACTCTGTGGTCACTGAAGCTGCCTCAGCCTTGCACCACCAGATCGTGTGGTGTGTGGGGGTCGCCTCCCTCCTGGCCCCTGTCTTGTCTTTTGAATGTTGGGTGTGACACTATTCCGCAACTCCCACTTGGACAGTGCCTCAGGAGCTCGGCCAGTTGAGATAGGAATGATAATAATGGTCAGGAGACCCGCAGGCCCCAGCGTGTTTTCTAAGCTAACGCTGGTGGGTGTGCATCACACCAGTGAACCTGTTAGGATAAGATTATGTTCTACCAAGATCGTAACGCAAGGTCGAACCAGGGCTGGGATTTGAATCCAGACAGCCTGACTCCAGGGCACACAGTTGCTATGGTTGATCTCCGTCCCCAGACCTAGGCTCTGTCTGCTGCAATCCTAGTCTCCAGAACCTCCCAATAGGCCCTTATTTGGCAATACGGTTGTTGCACATGTAATTCAATTAAGATGGCCTACTTGAGTAGTTTGGCCCTTATCCAATCCAACTGGCGTTCTTACAGAAAACACGCACAGGTGAAGAGAGCCAAAGAGAAGATGAACATCTTGCTACCTGAGGAAATGGGCATTCAGTTGGTCTGCCAGCCCTTACACACAGTAGCCTGAACCCCAAGCTAAACCAAAGGAATGAATGAATGAATGAATGAATGAATAAGAGAACAAATGAATGACTAAGGGAATGGATGAATAGATGACTTGCTCTGGATTCAATCAGAAACAGTAACCTGCCGTACATCTTCCAATTCTCATGCCTTCCCAGACCCTGCCTTGGCGGCCACCTGTCAATCACACAGGTCATGATTAAAAGGAGTGACAGGAACCCTGTTACACTTTAATTTACTCCACAAATGTTCCTGCACATCACCCGCAGTCATAATCTGGTGTTCTTTCTCTTTTCAGTCTTACAAGGGATCCAAGTGTGGGGGTTCAAATCCCAGTGCCTCAGAGAGTCACAGAGGAACCAGCAGCAGAGGGCGCTGCTCACACATGTGCCCCAACACCTGAGTTACCTCTCACCTGCCACAAACTCTAAAGTCACACAGAAAACAGTAAGAGCAACTGAGCCTATTTGGTGCCAAACAGGCAAATCTTATTCAGTCTTCCCAGCCACCTCATGAAAAAGGCACTATCAATATCTATACTTCATCCGTAAGAAGAACAGGACTCGGAGAGGGCAAGCCACCTATCCAGCGCGGCCCCACTAGGAAGTGGCCCCAATACCATATAAAGCACTCTATCCTTCCCAATCTTCTCCCTGCCCCAAGACAGCAGCTTTAAATGCTCAACCTTCTGAATTTCATTCTCTTCCCTTGGCTCGGCAATTCACCTCCAGAAACTTCGCCGCTGCCTAGCATGCTGCCTAACAGACATGCCCAACCTGCAGCTCTTTGAGCCCCATTTGGCCAGGGGTAGCTACGGATGTGGCCCCAAACTGGAGAATGAGCTCGAGGGATGGCTCAGCAGGCAAAGGCATTTGCTGTCGGTCTTGAGGAGCGGTTTGATTTGCAGAACCCACGTGGTGGGAGGGGAGAACCAGACCCCTCAAGCTGTCCTCTGACCTCTACACATTTGTCCTTGCAGACCCACAGCCCCGGCAATAAGTCATTTTAAAGGTGGGGCTAGCGAGAGAGCTCAGGAGTCAGGGGCACTTACTGCTCTTCCAGGGGACCATACAAATAAGTAAAAGTAAAATCCTTAAAAGACTTTTTTTTTTTAAAGCCAGGCATGGCAGCACACACCTTTAATCCTAGCACTCAGGAGACATAGGCAGGAGGAGTTCTGTAAGTTCAAGGCCAGCCTGATCTACAAAGTGAGTTCCAGGACTGCCAGGGCTATAGAAAAGACCCTGTCTCAAAAATAATAAATAATAATTTTTAAAAAGGTTGAACCCATCTGACAGGGGCTAGAGGCTCCCAAGTCTTAGAATATTTTCACCCCACACACTCACCCAAACTTATTAATATCTCTGTGCAAAAGACCTGAAACTTGCCCATCCCCTGCCCCTGGTGACCTTGCTGCAACCTTGGACCCCTCAGCAGGGAGCACAAAGGACTTTACATTGTCGAGGGCCAGATTCTAACATATGTGTTTCCTAGGTGACTCAATGCAATGAAGGGAGCCTGGTGTGGGGTGGTACAGAGTGGTGGGGCCCGTGGTATCAGACAGGGTGTCACCTATCCCTTTAGGGACAATCAACCCCTATGCTGACTCTTGCTATCGTGGAAAGTGGGGCCCAGAGCTAGCCAATGTTCTGCTTCATCCAGACATTTGGATTTTGACGTGAAGTCTTCCAACTTTTAAAGGTTAGGGATTAATTCCACTTAAATAAATTCACAAAACACCTCAGGGCTGTAAACCACCCACTTTCCTGATGGAAAGACTGAGACCCCGGCAGCAGTTTTGTGGGGTCCAGAGGCCTTCCATCCCTTTTCTGCAAGGTTGGCTCCTCTGTGTGAAGGGAGCTTTGGAAGCACTTGGCAGAGCCCAGGGCACCCTCCACAGCAGGTGCTCTCCGTACAGGCTGCCAGGGCACGCTACTTCCTCTGTAGTGGGGCTCCTGTGCTGGGTGAGCAAACACCCTCGCAGGCCCTGCAGGCACACCCCCCTCCCACCCGTACCCCCCTCCACCCCCCCACCCCCCTCACCCCCCTCCACCCCCCGCACAGCTCACCTTCTTGCACACATAGTCATTGGGCAGGTAGACCACCGAGCGAAGGCGCTTGAGCATGTCGAAGATCATTTGCCGGTCACAGCCCTGTCCAGACCGAGGGGGAGGAGTCTGTTAGAGGAAAGCAGGGGCTTGGCTTTGTCCCAATCCCCTAGCCGAAGGGCGCCTGTGGACGGTACCTGGAAGAGCGCCACTTTGCTGACAATGTCGTAGTTTACATCGATGGCCAGGTCCAGTCTCATCTTATCTGGGAGCTGCACCATCAGCTCTGACTCATCTGAGAAGGAGACCCAGCAGGGGTCAGGGGTCAGGCCAGACCTGCCCCTCATACCACACACAACCACGTGAGGCCCTGCACTGGCTCAGCCAGCTCAGCTTCCCCTGCCTCAGGGAGCCTGTCAGGAACACCATCCCCTCCTTTCCAAACTCCTACTCATCCTTCAAAACTAAGGACTAACGCCACCTCCTCTCGGAAGCCTGACTTGGATGCCCCATCTAGCTTTTGTATCAGTAACCCCTGTTCTGTAACACTTGTCGCCCCCACTTTGATTTTTTTTTAACATCGTATGTATGTGTGAGTGTGTATGCACACGCACCACAGTACACACACTGAGGTCAGAGGACAACTTGTGGAGGTCAGCTCTCTCCTACTGTCGGGGTCCAAGGGTCTGAGGTTGAGTCTTCACACTTGGCAGCAGGCACCTCCGCTGACTGAGCCATCGCATGGGCCCACCTACCACTCCGCTCATTTGGAGACAAGGTCTGGCTACATAGCCCACCCTTGGCTCAAACTCAGAGCAACCCCCTAAGTGCTGGGACCCTAGGTCTGAGCTGCCATGCCTGGCTGCGACCTTGGTGGAAATGGCTTCTGCCTTGGATGGAGCTGCATCTCAAGGTAGATGAAGCAAGAGGAGATGTCCGGAGGACAAGCTCTTCAGGTGTTTCAGGGTCTTCACTGGCCTCCGGAGGTCCCTCTAATATCAGTGCTGGCGGGGCAGCCAAGAGAGACCCCTCAGGACACAGAGGACACGGGAAGGGTTGGTCACTCTGGGAATCAGGTGAAGGTTGATCAGGAGAGGTGGAGGGTCTTGGGACTTGGCCAGTCTTACCCAGCATGCCTTGTGAATGCCAGGTGTACTCATACCAGGTCTTGACACGGTTCTGCACAGACCTGGGGATCTTGTAGAAGTTCATGTACTTCACGGTACTGTCCATGCAGCTGCGGTAGTAGGTCTGCCCCGCTGTGGCGGCCCCCACCACATCTCTCATCTGGAGTAAGACAGCAGGGAGGGGAGGTCAAGGAAGTGTTGGGCCCAAGCTGGGTAGGACACGGTTTGGTTATGTAGCAGTACACAGATCGGGGTAAGTCAGGGAGAGAAACACAGACGGCCACACATGGACCCTGGAAGCAGGGGGCAAGCCTGCAGACCTCTCTGGCCATCTCAGGTCCCCAGCAGAATGTTGGGGTGGGATGTCTCATTGGAATAGGCTGACTCTGGTGTACAGACACTCTCCCCAGAGAGGAACGCTGAGCCTAGCATATTGTTTCTCAGAGTGGGACCCTTCCGAGTTTGCGTTGAGGGCTCCATTTGTTGCCTCATGCCCTGACTAGAACACAAGTTACCCATCATATCAGAGACTCCAAAGGGTTTCCTTACAGGGCACAGCCCAGGTCACCAGCCTTTGAAAAAGCCACATAGCCACCTGGCTTACCGTCCTCCCCAAAGGGACTAACATTCAAACGGGAAGACCTTGAGCTGTCCTGGGACACAGACATCCTCCTGCCCCAAATGCTGTGGGCTCCTGGCTCAGCCTGAGTCTTCCCTGTACTCAATCCCAAAGCCACAACACACAGGGAAGTTTCCAGCTTGGGGTAAGGGAGCCACAGGTGCCTGGATGTGTGACCCCAGTTACCTGTCCAATCATCACAGAGAAAGCGAAGACACCTGTGAAATAATTCAACAGCTGGAAGACAATTTCAAAGAGTGTCTGGGGGTCAGGCAGTCCTCCAATGGTGATGAGAGTTTTCACAGCCCAGTAATAGCATCGGATGTAACTAGTAAGAGATGAGAGAAGGGACCTTGGTCATTACAGGAACAGCCCAGCTGACCTTGCGATCCTGGTTCAGACACCCAGAGGGACCCCATACAGCCACAGGTGCAAGAAAATGGCTCCACCTCCAGCAGCACCTTCAAATGCTACCAGGTGTGGCCGAGGTTGCTGTGGGGTGGTCTGTATGGCAAATGTGTTGCTCTGATTGGTTGGTAAATAAAACACTGATTGGTCAGTAGTCAGGCAGGAGGAAGTTAGGCGGGACAAGGAGGAGAATAAAGCTGGGAAGTGGAAGGCTGAGTTCGAGAGACACTGCCAGCCGCCACAATGAGAAAAAGCATGTGAAGATGCCGGTAAGCCACAAGCCATGTGGCAAGGTATAGATTTATAGAAATGGATTAATTTAAGATATAAGAACAGTTAGCAAGAAGCCTGCCACAGCCATACAGTTTGTAAGCAATATAAGTCTCTGTGTTTACTTGGTTGGGTTTGAGCAGCTGTGGGACTGGCGGGTAAACTGTAGCTACACGAGGCTCTGCTCCGGCCTTGTGAGAACATGTTACCCCGAGACGTGAATATGGAACTGAGGTTCCAGCAGACACCTGGCCACAGCTCCAGGCTGACTCCTCCCTGAAGTCAGCAAAGGGGAGGCCAGCAGGGCCAAGGAGGTTCCAGGAGACACAAGGAAGAGCTGGCAGGAAGACAGACTGGCCCTGGTGAGCCGGCTCCCTCGGTTTCCGGTCTTTTTCTTGGCTCTCCCCTGTGGTGTTGACTCACCGAAAGTGAGAAAGAAAACAAAACCGGAGATACTGCCGGCCCTCACAGCTGAAGGGCTTGCTCCTGAAGACCCAACCAGCCGCAGATGGGAAACATTTGGGGGGAAATGTATCTAGTTGGGTTCAGGTCACCCCACCCTCTGATTTGAAAACGCATTGTGTCCTTACTGAATATGTACAAACTTTTGGTCACTATTTCTTTTCTTTCTTCTTTTTGGTTTTTTTTTTTCGAGACAGAGTTTCTCTGTGTAGCTTTGGAACCTGTCCTGGAACTCACTCTGTAGCCCAGGCTGGCCTCGAACTCACAGAGATCCTCCTGCCTCTGCCTCCCGAGTGCTGGGATTAAAGGCGCGCGCCGCCACCGCCCGGCTTGGTCACTGTTTCTTAACGATGCAGTACAGCAACTATCACAGTCTCTGTACGGTATGGTATTGTGAGGGCTCTAGAGATGGAGCTCTCTCTGAGAGGGTCTGTGCAGGTCACATGCAAACATTATGCCATTTCACATAAGGGACTTGAATCTCCTTAGAGTTCGGAGTCCTCAGGGGCCCTGGAGCCAGTCCCCATGGCCACTGAGGGACAACTGCATCCTTATTCTCTCTCTCTCTCTCTCTCTCTCTCTCTCTCTCTCTCTCTCTCTCTCTCACACACACGCACACACACACACACACACACACACACACACACACAGGAAGAGTATCTCTATGTAGCCCCAGCTGACCAGAACTTGCTATGTAGACCAGGCTGGCCTCGAACTCCCAGAGACCTGCCTGTCTGGGTGTGCACTACATACCCATCAGTTGTATCTCTTCTGACCCTGTCCTTCCTCACCATTTTCCCCAAAGGGAAACTGAGGCCCACAAAGGGACTCGTGGTCTCCAGCTGACACACTCCAGAACTTGACAAGAGCCCAGGGCACAGTCTACTCCCCTAAGCAATCATACACCCTCAGGTACCCCGGTATAAGCTCATGGTCCCTGGGGCAGGAAGTACAAGTGGTGAGGTCCTGCTGTGTAGGAAAAGGCACAGGAAATACCCTGCACTTGTCTAACGGTCACAGAAGCAGGCCTGGTACACCTGACCACAGCTCCAGCCTGAGTCCTTCCAGAAGTCAGCAAGGGGAGGCAGGCCAGCTGGACCAGGCAAGCTGACTTTCCTGGAACGTCCCACCTCCACTCACCTGCTGCTTACGCAGAGTGCAGGTAAAGGCACAGGCCCTAGAGCAGTGGTTCTCAACCTTCCTACTGCTGTGACCCTCTACTACAGTTCCTCATGCTGTGCTGACCCCCAACCATAACGTTATTTTCGTTGACACGTCATAATTGTAATTTTGGTGGTTATGAATCATAATATAAATAACATGCAGGATATCTGATATGTGACCCCTGTGAAAGGGTCGTTTGACCCCCCAAAGGGGTCACCCACGGGTTGAGAACCACTGTCCTAGAGCTCTTTTCTATCATGGATCAATTTCCACTCTCTGCAGCTGGCCTCCTCCTCCATAAATCAGGCACAGTAGCGGAACACTCTTTCCAGGCAGCTGTGAGGATGAAGTGAGCTGCTAGAAGAGTGACCAGGCCCTAAGTCAGCCATCACGGCCTGCACAGTGCCTGTGCCCGCCAGCACCTGCCGTGGAGAACAGAGCAGACTGGCCATGTCTTCCAGACGCTTCCTACTTAGTGGGAACAAGCACCCAACGTGTATTCATGCTGAGAGGGAGCCAAGGGGCTGGAGTTGTGGCAGGGCGTGCATGCACACCCACTCTGTCTCAGACTGCCTGGGAGGTCTTAGGCAGGTTCATTCTCCAGTAGCCTGGACATCTGATGACAACAGACCAGCCGGGCTGGACAATGCCTGCCATAACCAACACTGGTCACCAGAGGGCGCAGGAAGCAACTTAGGCAGATCTGAGCAGGCCCCGCCCTTGCCTCCCCATCTAGCCAACCCAACTGTGGGGGAAGCTGAGTGTTCAGGCAGCTAGGTAGTGAACCACAGAAGGTGGAGGAGTGGTGGCCTCAAAGCCCCGGCTTTCCCCTAAATGTTTCTAATTGGAGTAATCTCCCACAGACATGGCACATATTGGGACCTCCTGGGGTGGGTCCCTGCTCAGCATTGCAGGCTGGGACAGAGCACAGTGAACTGTGCCACAGGTAGGAACTGGTTTTCCAAGGTTCCTTGCTCCAGCACACAGCGGCTCCCAGGAGGCGGTGGCTAATTTTATACTTATTGTTTATGCTATTGAAGTTTTTGAAGAATTTCTGTCACTGCACTTTGTCCACATATCCGGGGTCCCTGGAGGACTCCCCTGGGAAAGAAAGTGTGTCAGCAAGCAGGCCTGGACCCCTGGGTCCTTGGGAAGAAGGTTCCAGAATTCTGCTGACCTCTCCTTCCTGCTCATTCCTTGCAGGGTTGCCAGTCTGGCCTGCCACTGAGAAAGGGCTCTTAGATTCTGAGCACAGAGTCCTTTGAGAATTGAAGGAAAGCCAGAAAACTACCTAGAACAGTTGACAGATTCTCAGACTTGAGCTTCTGTTTCCAGGCTTGGGTCGTTAGAATTTCCAGCGGCAAGGTTCTGAGCCCTTTCCTGGCACGCTGGCTTTCACAGCAGGGGCAGGAACGGACCCAGCATCCAGGCACCAGTCAGACACTCACACTCACTGTTTTTGTTTTGTTTTGTTCTTTCCATTCCTCACAAGACTCCTAAGCAGCGTCCCAGCACTCAGGAAGCTAGTCAGGGTAGAGTGTTCAACACCAACTTGAGCTATCGAGTCAATTCAAGGCTAACCTGGACAATTTAGAGGGACTGTCTTAAAAACATTTTGTTTATTTTCCACACAGAAAACCTTGGGTCCTACCCCCAGAACTTAAAATATGTATATATCATAAGGAGGCAATGGAGCCAGAGGCCAGAGATTCACGTACAATGATGTGCTGTGGGCGTGAAGTGTGCACAGGCTTTGAAAGGTATAGAGGAAGCGCGTCACTGTCTAGTCAACCATCTGTCACTCAAGCTTAACACAGCAATTACACGTAGAAGTGATAATTTTGTCATTGGGATTAACCGAATACATCACTAAAATTAATTTCACCTCCTTTTATGTTTATAGTGTGGCTATTAAAACATTTCAAGTTGTGTGCATGAGTCACATCATAGTGTAATATTGCATAAATTGCACAGCCTTGCTTTGGGGAACCAACTAAGGTCTGCTGTTTGCTGTGCATCATATTGGATACATATGCATGCGTAATGCCACATGCAATTCTTTGCTGTTGCCGGCTCTGGGAGAAAAACCAGGAACACACTCTCCAGTTACATCATTTCTTCAGTTCTAAGACGCAGTAATTGCATAGCACACCAGTGAGTCAATTCAGCTTTTTTTTTTTTTTTTTTTTTTTTTTTTTGTACTGGAGTTTGAGCCCAGAGCCCTGTGCCTGTTAAGTAAGATCTCTCCCACTGAGCTGCATCCTCAGCCCAAATTCAGCTTTTTGTACAAAAATAAATATCATGTTAAACATACACATGGATTATCCATATAACTCAAATTTGGAAATGCTAAAATCTGAAAAAGTAGGTCCCCCACAGGGAGGTAAAATAACACAATATCACATAGATGTTCTGAAACCAGGCCGCTTCCTCCTGCAATCCTCTTTCTTTGGTCCTGAGGGGCATTTCCATTTTTTCCTATATGAGGAAGGACATTATGGGGACCATCTTTATCCATGAGCCCTTGTTTCCTGCCCTGAACCTTTCCTCACACTAAAGTCTGTGTGGTATATTTGCCAACCCTACTGGACTTGGGGGTACTGAGAAGATCTTTCTAACACGTCTCATGCCCAGACCCTCTCCTGGCACTTGCAATTCCCAGGAGACCTTCGCTTAGGGAGATGGATGGGAAAGGAGAACTTGGCCCTAGAACCTTGGCCATGAGTGGCTCCTCAGGAGCAAGGTTGTCTTGGACCGTAGAGGCCCATGTGATGCCCCGGGGGAAGCCTGGCTCACCTGTTCCCCACGCCGTCGTAAACCCAGTGAGTGGAACCGATGCCCTGGAAGGCCGATGCCCAGTAGTAAAGACAGGAGTTGAGGTGCAAACTGTAGAGCAGGTAGGCCGTGGTCCTGATGACCCTGCAGAGGGAGGGAGGGAGGGAGGGAGGCACAGCCGTGGAGGTGACACCTCGTCCTGGGGCAGCGCTTCAGGGAATGAACTAGACCTCAGCGTCCCCAAGCCACCTCCTGGGTTTCCCTGCTGGAGCCGCGTAACCCTGCCCAGTCAGTCACCCAGGCAGACACCCAGTCATACTCTCCTCTCTCCTGTGCCGATTCCTTTCATTCTAAGGTGCAGTCAACTGCATGACCCACCACTTAGTCATCAGGTTTTTCTTTGTGGAGGGGGTTGGAATTGAACCCAGGGCACTTGACTGGACCCTTGTCAAAATTCATGGCTGCACTCAACCCAGCTGCGGCAGAGAAATCTGTACAGATGGGTGTAGGGAAGTCCAAGGGGAAATGCGGCCTGAGGAGGAGCGGGGAGGAGACAGGTGTGTGCAGAGAAGTGACGACGAGCCCTGTGCTTCCGGAGACAGGAACAAGGAGCTTCGCTCCCCTGGACCACACAGAAATGCTGACTTGTCACTGGAGTCACCCTGTGAGAGTCCTTGTCACAGTACTGGGTGTGTGTGCAAATAAGACATTCCTGGGTCTTATTAAACAAACAAACCAAATATTCTTCCAGAGAAGAGATTGGGCCAAGAAGAGGCCTGGCTTCTGGAGGCCATGAGGCCTGGGGGGTGGGGGGGCTGGAAAAGGGAGGCTAGAGGTATGGGGTGTGTGTGTGTGTGTGTGTGTGTGTGTGTGTGTGTGTGTGCGCTGACATGCATATGTGCACATGTGTGCACGGGGACTTCTCACCTGTAGACGTAGGCTTTGCTGAGGATGGCTTCCAAGCGGTTATTAAACTCGAAGAAGGCCATGTACTAGGAAGGAGAGGAGGGTGTCAGGGTAGCCCCGTGCCTGCTGAGGACATGGCACACTACCCTTGCCTCCCACCCTACCCGATGGCTACCGGGTACCTTCTTTGCCTTCTCTCTCCAGGTAACCACTGTTAGAATGATTCTCCTGTCAGTAATTTTCCCCATTTACTGTCTTTGGAAAAGAACACTAATACCATGTAAGGCGAATAGTAAGTTTAATTGGTTGGCTAGAAAAGTCCATTTAGAAAATCCTGAGTGCTCTGAGTGGCCATCTATCCTGACCACATTCAAGGACACTTGCCAGGTCTCCACCCTTTGTGAAGCAGATGCTCCTCAGACCCTGGGTCCAGCCAGTGAGTGTCAGAAAAAAAAAAGTGGAACGACACTGAGTACTGATAAAATGGGTGCTGGGCATTCAGATCTGCCCTTGGCACACCCTTACTCCTGTTACCTTGGGCAAGTCACCCAGCCGTTCCAAGGGCCAATTTCCCCATCTTTTGAATGGAGTGCATTATAAAGCAGAAGTCCCTTCCGTGAGAAGCTCTGTAGGGATGGAGTTGGAGCTAGACTGCCTACATTCAAATCCAGACCCCACTCCTGCCTAGCTGTGTTCTCCTCTCCTTAAGATGGTAAGAACAGCATTCAAGTCATGGAAATGAAGAGCTAGAATTTGTAAAGTCTCTGGATCCGAGATGAACAAAAGTGTCCCCAAGTCACCAGCAACTATAACAAGCTTCTTACCAAGGCATGCTTAGAGGGCATTCACCTCCCCAGGGTCTCCTCTTGGGCACACCTTCCCTTCCCCAAGTGGCAGTGCCCATGCCAAGCACGGAGGAACCGAAGGCCTCGGGGACCTGCCAATCTTACCTTCAGGCAGCGGGGCAGGCGAAGGAGAGGGTTCACTCCGAGTTTCAAGTAGAGAAAGTCCAGGGGCATGAGGCAGAGCAGGTCCATCTGAAATCCCAGTGGGGCACCACAGGGGATAAGGCACAGAACCTTGGGGGTAGGGGGCTAAGGGGCATGTCTCTATCTGCCAGAGAGAAGGGTCCGAATGCTCAGGACAGCCTCAGATGAGAGGGCACAAGGCTTCCAACCACCCACCCCTGTGTGGCTTCACAGTCCATGGTGCCAATCTCCAATAGAGCTCTGTCACCAACCAACGTAAGGAACCCCCTGCTGCCTAATCGGAGGTGGAGGCACACACTTGGAAAGGTGTTCTGGGAGGGCCGCCCAGCCTGCGCTGTCCCGGAAGGCGTAGGGTCTAATGGGCATTCCCGTGAAAGATGAGGCTAGCCTCCCTTATGTGCCAGGAACTACATGACACAGGCCCCCACATACTCAGGCCCTCTGAGACCCAGCGGCAACCACCCACTTCCCCCCATTACACACCTTAAACCGGCGAGACTTCAGATAGTTATTGCGCATCTCCTTTTTGTCTGTCTGGAAGAAGGAGGCACAGAGATGGGGAAATGGTGTTAGGTTAAGTTCTGACCAGAGAGAGCCAGGGTGCCCGCCCAGGCGCATGCAGCCACACTGCTGGGAAGGACTTGTGGTTGCGGGTGGGTAAACTAACCGTGGGAATGAGCCTTGATGGAGTCACCAGCCAGACTGATCTCATGGATGGAGGAAAGTAGAGGCCTATTCTCTCAGTTCCCAGCTCCTCCCAGGACTACTAGCCACTTGATTTGTGAGGAGCTGGACACTGCTCTGATGGAGCTAGGGAAGAGGCTGGCCAAGGACTCCTTGCTTATTACCAACACTTTCATTTCCGGCATATGCTGTCTAGGGTTACCACAGGCTCCTCAAGCATTTTGGATTCACATCACACTTTAATTCATGGTGCCTGTCATTAACAATAGCATTTGCAGCAGCCTGTAAAGTAGCTGTTGGCTTAGCATCATGGCATCCAACGCATATGGTACAACGTCCAAAACCTTAACTTCTGTACTGTTAAATTTTACGTTACCAACTATCATACAACACCGTTAAGATGGCACTCAAAAACCTCAACCATGGATGAATTCTACTTCACACAGCTTAGTAATTATCTTCATAGCACTATTGATTTTCTTTTGTCTTTATTTAATGATTTTTATTAAAAGATTTATTTTTCTTCATGTGATGTGTGTGTGTGTGTGTGTGTGTGTGTGTGTGTGTGTGTGTGTGTGTGTGTGTCCATAGAGGCCAAAAGAAGACATTGGGTCCCTTGTAGCTACCCAATGTGGGTGCTGGGAACTGAGCTTGGGTCCTCTGGAAGAGCAGGAAGTGTTCATGACTGCTGAGCCAACTCTCCAAAGCCCTAAACTCATTTTGTTTTGAGACAGAGTCTCTCTTTGTAGACCAGGCTGGCCTCCTGGATACTGGGATTAAAAGTGTGTGCCACCATGCCTGGGTCCTTCTTCTTCTTCTTCTTCTTCTTCTTCTTCTTCTTCTTCTTCTTCTTCTTCTTCTTCTTCTTCTTCTTCTAACTTTTATTTAATGTGCATTGGTGTGAAGATGTCAGATCCCAGGGAACTGGAGTTACAGACAGTTGTTAGCTGCCATGTAGGTGCTGGGAATTGAACCTGGGTCCTCTGGAAGAGCAGCCAGTGCTCTTAACCACTGAGCCATCTCTCCAGCCCTGCCTGGGTCCTTCTTAATTCTTATCAATGTAATGAAAGTGGCTAAAAGCTCTCTCTAATATTTTTGACTCCTTATCGGGCCCCTTCTATATGCTAACTGCCTGACTTCTCCCATGGATACTTACAGCAAGTCGATACCCCTTATCAAAAGAAACTCCAATCCGGAAGGAAAGTCCACTTAGAGGAAGTGTTTTAGAAGAAAGCCCACCCTTGCAGTGGTGTGGACTTCTTTTGTTCCCTTCGCAGTAGTGAAGATGGACCTCGGGGCCTCAGGGACCTAGGCAAGTGCCACTGAGCTACACACCCAGCCCTCCACGTGAAATTTTAGAAAATGACTTGCTCACAGCAACGGGAACTGGGGTGCCTGCCTCTCTTTCCCTTCCTTTCTTCTATCCCTTCCCCCGACCCCCAGCCACTGTGTTTTTAAGACAGGCTTTCACTACACAGCCTGGTCTAGCTTCGAACTCAGCTCTCCCTGCCTCGACCTCCTGAGTGCTAGGATTACAGGCATGGGTCACACTACCAGGGTCACAGTTAGGGCTTTGGTCTCCTCACCGTAAGGGGCCGGGTCAGGCTGAGCCACAGAGCAGATCATCACTGTGCCCTCTGCAGGAGGCACTCCCTGTGCCCCACACTCTGCATGCACCATCTAGTTCTTACAGCAATACTTGCATCTCAGGGGAGTTGTTCCACACTGAAGCTTCAGCTAGAATCTGAAGCAGGTGCACCTGGCCCCGATGCTGTTCTCTGGACCACTTCTCCCTTAACTCCATCAGATGGTCTGGGAACCAACTCATCATTGAATGGTACTAATGTGTATAATTGGAACCCACGCAAGAGGTGCAAAACAACAAACCAACAAAAACATGCGCAACTGCTCCCGGGATTTCCTTGTTCATTCATGTTATCACCTGTCACAGTGTTAAGGGTCAGTCCCGTGAAGGCCCTGGCTAGAGGGTCTGCCCTGGTCACCCCTCCACCTGCCTGTCACTCACAATGATGTCCCCGCCTTTGACAAACTGCAGGCGCATCTGGAACATGGTGATGTCCAGGAGGTAGATGAAGTCACACAGGTAATCCATCAGCAGCCAGAAGTGGATGTTGTCTGGCTGCTGGTACGGGAAGGCCCATCGCACAGGAATCAGCCAGCAGTTCCAGTTCCAGGCCATCACCACGAAGAACAGCCACAGGATGTACATGAGGTCTGGGGAGGACAGGGACAGACTTGAAGGCCAGCAAGAGAGGGCGCTTCACCCGGGCAACCGCGTGTGGATTTCATCACATGGAAGACAGACAGATGGGCAGACAGGTGGATAAGTGGGTGAATGGATAGGTGGACATGGAGGTCACTGATAGGCCCTGAAAGAGTCTTCTGAGGAGGGGGCACGGTGGCATTACTGGATAACAGATGGCTAAGTGGAAACACCTTTTTGCTTTCCACCTTTAAAATTTTTTTATTACATTCATTTATTTATGGGGGGGGCCATAAGGGTACCATAGAGCATTTTGGAGGTCAGAGGTCAACTCTCGGGAGCTGGTTCTTTTCTTTCACCATGTGGGTCCTGGGGATGGAGCTTAGATTGTCAGGCCTGGCTGGCATATTTACCCACTGAGTCACCTCACCAGCCCATGAACAGTTTTTGACAATAAATATTCTGTCTTAGGAAATCCAGAGAAGCAAATAACACATGGGAGATAGACAGATGGATGGACACACAGGTGGGTGGATACATGGACAGACTAGAGATCACTTGGTATCTTAGAAACCCAGTAGACACCAAAGTTGGGGACCTACCCCTGAGTGACTCCCTGTTTAAAGAAATTCCTCTCTGGCTCCTGCCTTGGTCCTGTCAAAGTCGCAGGAAATGACCAGCCGAGGAGGCAAGGAGCTCCAGTGTGAACTGTGAAGTGCAGTGCACATGTGGAGGATGGTGGACTGGAGGACTATGGGATGGGCTTACAGAGGATCTCGGGAATTCACTTCAGACTATGATGAACTCCACCCTGCTCCTGCTCTGAGCCCACACGGCCAGGTTAGAGAGAAGACTTGGGCAAGGGCAAGGTGAGGAGTCTAACTGTCTGTATTTCAGGTCGTTCATTCCTCTGTGCCTCAGCTTCCTCATCTGTAAAATGGGTGTGGCCTATGTTCCCAACCCAGGGACTTGTGCTAAAGAACCAGGCAAGCACATGCGGAATCATTTTGGAAAATATAAGGAATCATGAACCAAGGATGTCCATGGGATTGGACCCTGCCTCCCTTCTCATGGTGCATGTGGGGGACCCCCTCCAAGGGCACTCACTGGTCAGTGGGTCGATGCTCTGGGGGAACCGGTACATCTTCCAGGGCCTGCGCTTGAACTTGCAGCAGAGCATGTCACAGTAGTGTTCCTCCTCTGCTGCCTCTGCCTCCGCGGGCTTCTGGGCTGGGGCTGGCTCTGGAGCCTTCTTGGCTGGGGCTGTGGGATGACATCAGTGACCGTCTGACCCAGCCCTGAGGCTTTGTAGAGGGTGTAGGGAAAAGAGTCCCACCCACAGAGCTGGGACTGCAGGGTCTCCACACTTCCTAACGCACGACTTGCTCATAAACTCTTGAGTGCAGAAGCCAATATGCTCCTCCGGAGAGAACTCCATGGTCCTCCCTTCCACAGCAGTCTGGAGTCCCTGGCAGCTCTTCCTAGACCCCAGTCAGGAGGTGCTCCTCGAGAGCAGGCTTCATCTCAGTGTCTGTCTGTCTGTGTCTGTGTGTCAGAGGACCCCTTGCTCCTTTGGTGGGCAGGGCATTTTGTGCCCATGCTCCCATCTTCCTTACTCAGAATGCTGAAGGATTCAACCAACTTGGGGACATGTTGATTCGGACTTCTCAGAGTAGGGCTCAGCTCCACTATCTGGCTGGGATTCGGCCTCCTGTGGTCTGTGACACTGTGCCTTGGCCCTTAGGGGTCCAACACAGCTGTGTTTGTAGTGTTAGGACTGTGAAGTCAGTCTCTGATAACCTGTCGTGGGCCTTTGAGTCCCAGTGTGCAACCCTTGTCAGAAAAACCTAGAAAGTATCCCTGACAAAAAGCTTGTGTGTTGGGCTGGGTATAGTGGCTCACACCTTTAATCCCAGCACTTGGGAGGCAGACACAGGTGAATCCCAGTGAGTTCAAGACCAGCCTGGTCTACAAAGTGAGTTACAGGCCAGCCAGGACTTACACAGTGAGACTCTATTTAACAAAGAAAGAGAAAAGGAAACATATTCGAGTTCATTCTTCCACTTTCTTTCTCTGTCTTTCTGTTTCTGATAGTATCTCACGATGTAGTCCAGGCTGGCCCCAAACTTGTGATTCTCCAGCCTCAGACTCCCAAGTGCTAGGGATTCCAGGCATTTATCACCCTGCCAGACTTCTCCATCAAGGAAGGAGACATTTGACCAGCATGCTGGCTCACACCTGTAATTCTAGCATGTAGGAGGATTGCCATGAGTTCCAAGACAACCTGGAGCTACTGGGTGAGTTCCAGACCAGCCGGGGCTATAGAAAGAGATATACAGCTGGCCCCAGTAAGGCATGAATGCCTCTGAACATAAAGACTGCCTGCTGCCGGGTGGTGGTGGCACATGCCTTTGATCCCTGCACTCAGGAGGCAGACACAGGAGGATCTCTGAGTTCGAGGCCACCCTGGTCTACAAAGTGAGTTCCAGGACAGCCAGGGCTATGGGCGGGGGGGACAGAAAGAGGGAAGAGAGAGAGACCCTGTCTGCTTCCAGAGCAGCTGTGCTATCCCTGAGACAGACATCCCAGCTGCCCTCCCTGTGGGAGAAGGAGGCAGAAGAGTCTATAAGACACCAGCTGTGGGAAGGCCAAGTTCGCCTTTGGCCTTCTTCCTCTCCTGAGTACTCATTTAAGCCCCAAATTCAGAGTTTGGGGGTCTGAGCTTTTCTCATACACCCCAACCATTTGCTTGTGCTGCCTTCCCAGTAGTAGGTGCTGGGGTTCTTCTGGCACCCCCCTCCTTGGCCTATGACCACCCCTGTGCCCACTCACAGGGCTTGGGGCTCTCCTCATCAGAGGTGACGTCGGGGTCAATGAGCTTCTCCTTCACCTTCTCCGTCCGCTCCTTGAAGAGCTTCACCAGCTCCTGGAGCCGGTCATTGATGATGGCACTGTTCTGGCTGGCTGTGGAGGCTGCCCGGTCCTGGCCACTGTGGGAACAAGGCTGAGGCTAAACACCAACCAGGAGGGGTTCACAGGACCCCAGGCCTATGCTGAGGAATGCCTATGCCTCCACTTCTAGCAGAGCCCAAGGGAGGCCGATCCAACTCATTTTTTCCTGACAGTGTCAGACCCATTCCACTCTCTTAGCTTCCGGAGTAGCTGAAATTATAGGCCTGTGCCACCATGTGTGGCTGAAGTTTTCTCTTTCTAGTCTTGACCAGAATGTCTTATAAGCTACATAGAGATAGCAGAGTCACCGCCACCTGGGTTCCTAAATGATTGCATAAAACAGAGCCTTCCACTGACCTGAGAAACACAAGTAGTGATGGGACTGTAATATACGAGACATCTTGTCGTCTTAGCCACTGAACCAACAGGGTCTGTTTATTACAGCAGCTTAGCCTACATAACTAATATGTGGGTCTCCATATTGACCTCCTTACATGATCCCAAGGGTAATTTTTATTATTATGTCTGATTCCTGCTATTTTTTTTTATGTTAAATCCTAACCATGTCCCTGCTCTGTCACATAAAATATAATTCCATTGTGTTAAAATGTCAGCTAGGCTGTGTAAGATTTAGGGATTTCCTGAATTTCTCATGACTCTGATAAGTACAAAGTGAATAGAATTATGGAGAGAGGGCCAGAAAGATGGTCCCACAGATAAAGTGCTTGCTGCATGAGCCGGACGACCTGAGCTCATCCTGAACCCAACGTAAACGTCAGAGAAGTGACTCCACAAAGTCATTCTCTGGCTTCGAAATGTGTACCATGGCACACACGTGCTCCTGACATCACATACAATAACAACAAATAAATAAAATTATGGATAGAAGCAAGACAGAAGGAAGGAGGCAGGCCAACCTCGAGTTTCTTGTAGTCAATACAAGGGTCACGGCTGGAGAGCCTGTTAGGGTGTCTAGGCCAGTGTCCCAAGCTAGGCACTAAAATCAACCAGGGTTACTGAAAACCTTCAGGAAAGTACTTGATCATGACCCAGTCCTGGGGACAATTAGATGCCGGAGACTCAGCTTCCAATGCTGCTACTATGACCTCCAGCCACGTCCCACACGCCAGCTATTGAAGTCACCAGAATGCTATGGAAATGCAGGTTTGGGGACCACTATCCAGGGCTGTGTGGAGCCCAGGATCTGATTTAACAAGCTCCTAGGTCTTCCTCCTACTGACTTATTTGGGGTTCAGTGCCAAGATCTTTGGCAGGGGAGATTTTGCCTAGGTACTCCTTCCTCTCTGTTGCTAGCTAGAAAGAATATATCTGGCCTAGCGTCCAACCTCCCTCTCCTGCTGCCTCCCCCTGCACCCACCCCCACCCCTACTCCCAACCAACTGGCAAAGCCCTGGGCAGGAGAGCTGCTCCTGTCTTACTGCTCTAAAACATAAAGTTCACCTTCGTGGGGTTCTGAAAGCACCCCAGTTTCTGCTCCTTTCCTGGTCTGCTCATCCCAAACCAACCCTGACATCTCTGAGACTCAGGAGTGGTTCCACTTACTCAGCCTCCTGTGGGGTGGTGGGGTCTGACCAGGCAACCACTGGGGACTCAGCCGGCGACAGTGCCTTGAGCTCTTCAGCTTCATCCTCATGAGAAGGTAGCTTCTTCCTGTAGAGACCCAGACAGGTATGGGGCCTTCAGAGAAGGCTGGCTAAGGGAAAAATGGCTGCCTTCGAGCTGGTTCTTGGGAGGAGAGAAAGCCTGGTCTTGGGACCTCAGTGTTTGAACACTTCTCAGTGGCCTGGCCCACAGTGAGCAGCATGGACTTAACATCAGGTAAACTTGGAGTCTGACCTTGGCACAGCACTTAAATGCTAAGCTGCTTCCATCTCTTTTTCTATAAGCGGCACTGAATCTACCCAAGGAAATAAAGAGGTGCTTGTCCCTTAGCTAAGTCTCTGCCTAAGTGTCCTTCTGTCCTTCTGCCTCCTATTTCTGATCTCGTTTCCCCAACCCCACCCTCATTTCATTCAACCCTTCGGCTGTGAGACAAAGACGTGGAGTCCAGTCTCCAGGTCACGGTGTGACCTTGAACAAGTCTCCCCCTTCTTAAGTCTATGCTCTAGTCTAACTAGAGAATGCAGCCTAAGTTATCAAGGGGAGCCCCTGTCGTTCAGGAAGACCACAGGCTGTTGCGTTTGGAGCTACTAGTATCTTGTCTGATTAGATGTGAAGGTCCACAGGTCAGAGCCTGGGTGGTATGAGCTGTGAGCAAGAGGTTCCCTTGGTGCTATTTGATGTTGGCATCCTCAGGGCTAATTCTCTGGACCTTCCCACCGTCTTCCTCAAGAGTGGGGATGAGCTGCTTTATGGAGGAATCCAAAAACCCGGGAAAGAGAGAAAGACAGACATTTCTTAACACTATCAAGAAAGTCATCCCCAGCCTCAGAGAAAGATCTACTTAGGGTGGAGCAGAGTAAGTCAATACAGAAACACAAAGATGGTACCTGGAGGATGCAGATCAGGCCAACATCTAGGGATAATTTCCTGTGTGTCTATGTAGCTCTATGTGTGCCTGTCTGGTGTGTGTGTGTGTGTGTGTGTGTGTGTGTGTGTGTGTGTGTGTGTGTGTTTCTCTCTCATTGTCTTTTTCATTTTTAAACAGGGTCCTGTCATGTGGCCTGAGCTGTTTCCAAACTTGTGATCCTCCTGCCTTAGCCTCCTGAGTGCTGAGATTCGATTCATGTGCTATTGAACATGAGCTAATGAATGCAGAAAGGAAGAATGGCCACTTCCCAAAGACTTGGATTAGCATATAAACACAAAATGCCCAGTGCTAGCACACGGAACCAAGAGTCTGGGGACATAGATAGGCGTGTTAGCACATGAAGGCAATCCATCAGCTTGTCAAGTGAGGGTCAGAAGAGCAGGGAACAAGAGGATGAGGGCTTAGGACCTAAATTTGAGTGAACCCCACATGAGAATGCATGTGGATGGACCCACATAGAAAGGTCCTTTGGGACACATAAAGGAAGTTAGGATGGATAGGTATAATGGCACACCTCCACAGTCCCTGGGGGAGCAGAGCAGGAAGCTTGTGAGTTCAAAGCAAGCCTGGGCTCCATGGTGAGATACTGACTCAAAAAAAAAAAGAAAAAAGGAAAGAGAAAAAGAAAAAGAAAAAAGAAAGAAAAGAAAGGAGAAAAGGAAAGAGAAGAAAAAAGAGAAGAAGAGTGTTGGAAGAGAATGTGGTTACGGAGTCTGCCCAGCTGTGAGGATCGGGGTTCAGTGTGCCAAACTCAGGAGAACTGTGATCAGCTAAGGGCACACAGGAATGGATTCAGTTCAAAAAGGAGACCCTGGGTGCTGGTGGATGAGATGGTTCTGTGGGTAAAGGTGCTCGCCATGAAAAACTGGAGACCTAAATTCAATCCCCAGAATCTTGTAAAGGTAGATGGAGAGGATCGATGGCCACAAAGTTGTCTTCTGACCCCTGCACACATGCCATGGACCATGCACACACTAAATAAATAAAAATATTAATAAAAACCACATGTTTAAATTGTTAAGAGATGCTGGGAGTATGAGCTCTTGACTAGTATGTGAGGTCCTGGACTAGAAACAAAAATGAGAGGAAAAATAAACAAGACCTAACACTCTGGCAATTTATAATCATATGTGCTATTTATGAAGCAATACTCTGCCAAAATGTAAAATAAAACAATATAAAAGAGGGGACAGAAGTTAGCTGTCACGTTTAGGGTAGTGTAAACATCGGCATTTCTGTAGTAGCATCCGTCTGTACCACAGGTGAGGGTGTCTGAGCTAGGGTGCTGAGAATACTTCTCAGGACCACCTGCTGACTCGGAGATCTCAGCCCTGCTGTTTCCCATCATGACAAATGGGCTAGTGGCACCGTGAGGACAGAAGCCAAATCATCACGGCTAACCTGAGGGCTGCTGCATCGGAGCCGGGGACCCTGAGGGTGTCAGATTTGGTAGGAGAGGGTGGTGGTCTCTCTGGTGAAGGTAACTTCTCCTCTGGGATGAGGGGGCGACTGTCAGCATCCGTGTCTTCTACCTGGACCTCTGGGTGCTCTTTCGTGGCTGGTACTGGGAAGAGGAAGGAGGGGAAAGTCAGAGAGAGAGAGGCCAGGTCCTGGGACTGTGTTTGGAGGGTCTCTGGTGGCTACGCCTCCCCCATGCAGTCCCCAGCCAAGCTCCATGCAGCCTGAGGCCCTCTGTGCATCACCACCCCAGCCCCAAACCCATGAGCTGGAAATCCAGCATCAATGCCCCAAAATTCTCCCTTAGCTTCCCAGTGTGGAAAGCAGCAGCCACTTGGGGAGGCTGGGACTAAGTGTCACACAGGCAGGCCCATCTGCTCCCCTCTCAAGGTAGGAGAAACCATATCTTCCAAGCCTGTAGGGAGGGCAGGAACCAAGGCCTCGGATTCTTGAAGGGACTCCAATTCAGATGTATTTGCTGTTTTAGTCACGTGTTTACCTAAGAATCTGCTTTGGAGGGTATTAGCATCCATACCAGGGGCCCCTAGAAGTCATCTGCTGTCTGGTTGGACCTCTGACAAGCCTGGGCAGTCTTCAGTATCAGGTACTTCCTAGGGAGTTTGTGTATGGCGCCACCTTGAGGACTCAGAGGCACTGGAGGGCTGACTTCTAGCAGGGAGCCTTAGAGGTAGCGGGCTGCAAGCCTGCTCCACAGCAAGGCAGGGAAGGTACTCTGAAATAACTGTCCCTGGGATGTTTCTGCTCAGGGTCACCACAGGAAGTCCAGTGCACAGCTTACAGCTATACAATGGGAATGGAAGGGGCCCTCAGACCTGGGTGCTTGTTTTGGTAAGTCATACGGACCCTCCCTCCAACACACACCAGAGGAGGACCAGCAAGAATGGGAAAGTTTTTTTGAACACTGAGGCAGGTCATCATTTGCTAGAATTCAGCAGTTCTCAACCTGTGGGCCTGGACCCCCACTGGGGTTACATATCAGATATTTACATTAAGAGTCCTACCAGTAACAAAATTACAGTTATGAAGTAGCAACGAAATAATTTTATGGTGGGGGCTCATCACACCATGAGGAACTGCACTAAAGGGTCGTAGCCTTGGGAAGGTTGTGACCACGGCGCTAGACTGACGAGAGGTCCTCCAGGCTCAGGAGAGGAGGAGAGGCCTCAGCCACTGCCCGCTAGTCCCCATGGGAGCAGAAGAGGAAGGACCCTAAAGGCTAGACCTCAGGGTCCCAGCGCTGCCTCCAGCATAGCCTCAGCTCCAGGCCCGGGATGTATACAGTATGTTCCATCCTCACCAAATCCAGCTCAGGGACTTATTAATTTATTACATTTATTAAGCCAGGCTTAGCGGCACATGCCTTTAATCCAAGCATTTTGGAGGTAGAGGCAGGTGGAGCTCTGAGTTCAAGGCTAGCCTGGACTATAAAGCAAGTTCCAGGACAGCCAGGGATACACAGAGAAACCCTGTCTTTAAAAAAAAAAATTACATTTATTTATTACATGTAAGCACATACTATAGTGTGCGCGAGTGTGCACAAGTGTGCACGAGTGAGTGTGTGTGTGTGTGTGTGTGTGTGTGTGTGTGTGTGTGTGTGTGTGTGTGTAGGTCACAGGACAACTTGTGGGAATTGGTTCTCCCCTTCCATTCTGGGAATCAGTCACCAGGGTTGGCATCAAGCACCTTGACCGACTGAACCACATTGCTGGCCAGCCTGCCCTCCCTCCCTCCCCCCTCCCTCCGTCCCTCCCTCCGTCCGTCCGTCCCTCCCTCCCTCCCTCCCTCCTCCCTCCCTCCCTCCCTCCCTTCCTCCCTCCTTCCCTCCCTCCCTTCCTTCCTGGGTTTCACTATGTAACCCACGTCAGCCTTGAACCCCCAGTCTTCTTGCCTCAGTCTCCACAGTGCTGCTTAACAGGTGTGTCCTGGAACCCACTCTGTAGACCAGGCTGGCCTTGAACTCACAGAGATCTGCCTGTCTCTGCCTCTCCAGTGCTGGGATGAAAAGCATGTGCCACTAATGCTGGGCTTCTTATATTTGTTTTTAAATGTTGAGTATTAACATCTATTCCCTTCCCTCACCAGCCCCTGAAATGGGGTCTTGCTGTGGTTTGAGCTGCTGTGTATTCTGGGTTCAACCAACACTCTCGCTTCAGCTCCCTAAGTGTCTGGGGCTGTGGGCTCTCAGCAGAACAGCAGGGCGGGTTAGCCTCCCCAGCTGCTCTGCGGAGCAGTGTTACTCAGTTTCCGTCTTGTGGAGAAGGGAAGTGTAGGATAGAAACCTGCTTCAGTGCAGATTCAGACCCAGCTCAGAAGTGCTGAGGCATAACTAACCAACTGCCAGATTGGCTGTTTTCCTTTTGTTTTGAGGCAAGGTCTTGCTACGTAACCCAGGCTAGCCTTAACTCCCAAATGCTGGGGTTACAGATGCGCACCACCACACCCAGACCAGGAACACCATTCTTGCTGCACTGGGTTGTCTTCTGTAGCGCTAAAACCCTCGTGTGCGGCATCACAGTACCAGGCACATTGGCACAGTACTGCTGGGAGTGTTTCCCAGCCAGAGTCCCCAAACCCCAGGGAGGACATAGACGGTTCCAGACGCACAGACCAGAAAAGGGGAGACAGAGAATGAGACCATGACACCCCACTGTCACTCTCCCTCCGTCTTGAGTGCAGAGGGGACCAGTAAGGTCAATGCTTCTGTGGCCTTGGCACAGAGGAAGCCCCTCTGGGCTCCAAGCCTTCAGCAGGCTCTGTATCTCACAAGAAACTCAGCTCCATCCCTTCCCCCATGTATTTGTGGTTAGTCCTATTGACGCTTTCTATTTCTGTTTCTGGGTTGGTGGGGGTGGGGGTGGCGGTGGGGTTGCTGTTGTTTGTTTGTTTGTTTGTTTGTTTGTTTTGAGGCAGAGTCTTGATTTGTCGCGTCAGACTTCCTGGGTGCTGGGATAGGCCTAGCCTCCTAGTTAGCTTTACCTGCCAGCTGGACAGAGCCCAGACTTACCTGAGAGAGTTTCCATTGGGAGTTGCCTCCATCAGATTAGCCGTGGGCATGTCTGGGAAGCATTTTCTTAATTGCTAACTGCTATGGGAGCCATCTAGCTGAGCAAACCAAGGGGAACGAGCCAGTAAGCAGCACTCCTCCACGGTTTCTGCTCCAGGTTCCTGCCTTGAGAGCCTGTGTTGGCTTCTTTTAGTGATGCACTGTGATCCAGAAGTGTAAACTGAAATAAACCCTTTGCCTCCACAAGTTGCTTTTGTTCAGCATTTTATCATTGCAACACAGAATCAAACTGTTGACACCTTCCGTCTCCGGCAAGCCTTGCCAGTTTTCCCTTTGGCTAGTCATTAAAAGTTTTCCTGTTCACGTACAACTAGATAAAAATAGGAAGGAGAAAATCCAGCAAAAGAGGCAGAAGTCGGGTCCTGTGGAGCAGCAAGGCTGGGGCCCAGCTGCCGGCAGACAGAGCCTGGGTGTCACCCTTCACTGCAGGGATGATCAGAGAGAAGCTCACCCCATTCTGTGCCCATCGCCAGCCAGGAAGAGGAGACAAGACAGCCAGGCCCTTTCTTACGGAGAGTCCTGCTCCTCCTACCTGCTCCGATCTCAGAGACAGCCTGGCCCAGAGTCAGCACAGCCGTCCTTCACATCAAAGGCAGAGTGGGAAGACTGACTTAAACCAAGGCAGAAAGGGACAGAGGTTACCTCGGGGCACCTGTACTCCCCAAGTACTTTGTCATTAGCCAGTGAGCAGTATCAGCCCAGGAACAAGTTTGGACAGGCCCTCAATCTGCACTGAACCCCAAGAATCCCTTCTCCTGGTCTTCCTGCGCCTGCCTGCTTCTCCTGTCTGCACCTGCCTGCACCTGCCTGCACCTGCCTGCTTCTCCTGTCTGTACCTGCCTGCACCTGCCTGCTTCTCCTGCCTGCTTCTCCTGCCTGCACCTGCCTGCTTCTCCTGCCTGCTTCTCCTGCCTGCACCTGCCTGCTTCTCCTGTCTGCACCTGCCTGCTTCTCCTGTCTGCACCTGCCTGCTTCTCCTGCCTGCTTCTCCTGCCTGCTTCTCCTGCCTGCACCTGCCTGCTTCTCCTGTCTGCACCTGCCTGCTTCTCCTGTCTGCACCTGCCTGCTTCTCCTGTCTGCACCTGCCTGCTTCTCCTGCCTGCTTCTCCTGCCTGCTTCTCCTGTCTACATCTGCCTGCACCTGCCTGCACCTGCCTGCTTCACCTGTCTGCACCTGCCTGCACCTGCCTGCTTCTCCTGCCTGCACCTGCCTGCTTCTCCTGTCTGCACCTGCCTACTTCTCCTGTCTGCACCTGCCTGCTTCTCCTGTCTGCACCTGCCTGCTTCTCCTGCCTGTACCTGCCTGCACCTGCCTGCTTCACCTGCCTGAACCTGCCTGCACCTGCCTGCACCTGCCTGCTTCTTCTGCCTGAACCTGCCTGCACCTGTTTGCACCTGCCTGCTTCTTCTGCCTGAACCTGCCTGCACCTGCCTGCACCTGCCTGCTTCCACTGTCCCTGAATCAGTAGATACCAATGTCCCTCAGAAGACCCAGTAGACTCTCACAGGCAGGCAAGTCTGCCTACAATGGACCTCACATCACTCCACCATCTGGTACCCCTCCTTCCATGGCCTCTCTTCCTTCTTTTAAAAACATTTTTATTAATTCTTGAGGATTTCATGCCATGTATTTTGATCATATTCACTCCCAACTCCCCCCAGATTCACCCCACCTTCCTACTCCCCCCAACTTCATGTCCTTTTTATTTTTTATAATAACCTATCAACTCCAACTTGTGCTCTTCATATAAACTCCTGAGTAGGAGGCCATCCATCAGAACATAGTTGACCTACTAGGAGCCATATCCTTAAAGAAAACTGATTCCTCCTCCCCTAGAAGCTATTGACTGTCCACAGCACTTCAGTTAGGGGTGGGAGTGACCCCTACCCCTTCTACCAGCGTTCTCCCCAAGCTTCATGGTCTAGAGAAAAGACTCAGTTAAAAAAAAAAAAAAACTAGAGTAGGAATGACTGCCTATATAAAATGATGACCTGCAGAAAGTATATGTAGTTGAAGAACTAAATTGCTAACTGAAAATTTAGGCATATGGAAAGAAAAGGACTGAATGCCCGAAAGTCACTATAAAGCGGGAGGGAGATCTTTAGAGGAAGGGGAATTCCATGAATGCAAAGCATGTTCCCCCAGCATGCCACACAGGTGGGAAGACAGCCCAAGCCATGCAAAAACCCTGTTATGCCACATCCCAAGCATGCTGGGGCGAGACCACACTACCCAGGCGACGGATGGAGCTCCTGGTCCCCTTGGCGAAGCTGGAGTTGGACAAGGCTGTCCTCCGGGAAACCAGGACAGGAATGCGGGTGATTGTAGGATGATAGCTGGGCACATTGGGGAGGTGCTCGGCCGGGTTTGGGGGGCCGGGCCTGGGGCCCTCCTGGCCAGGTGGCTGGTCCTGGACCAAGCGATTCAGCTCCATATTCAGGCCTGGTTTAGCCATGGTATTGGGTCCAGAAGGTGGCAGACAGAGGTGTGGCCCTGGGGACTGTAATCAGGAGCTGAGTTGAGGAAGGTGGGGCCAGTAGGGCTTCTTCCAAGCACTGATATTGACCAAACTAATACCTGCCTGCTGTTATCAGCCCTGCTCAGGTCTGAAGCACCATTTTTTCCCCCAATGCTCAACCTTAAAAGCATCACCAAGTGACATAGATGGTCCTCCCCATAGCTCCAAGGCACTCCCTGGAGCCCTGGGTCTGCTGATCAGCCACAGGAGTATTCCCCACGTCAGATTCAAAAGATGCCAGACTCAGAATCCGGAGCTGAAAGACTTGGAACTTCAGAACCCAGGCTCCAATGTGCTGAGCTCAGAATGATTTTCCTTTTCAAAGAAACCCTGCATCCAATTCGCCTTTCTTCCAACCAGAAGCAGACACAACGCTAGGGCCCTGGGTCAATGGGCTGCATGCTAGAATCCCTCGAAGAGGCTTACATGGTCCTGATGCCCACTGCTCCAGCTATCCAAGAGTGAGACTCAAAGCCATTGCCCCAAACGCCAACATGGAGACAAATCACCAGACAGTTAGGCAGATTCTGGCTCCGCGGGGCTTGGTGGGATCTGAATTCTACATTTCTAACCAGTTTCTAGGAGACACTGAGGCTGTCAGCTTGAGTAGCGATGGGCACTACTTTCCAAGACTACCTGGGGAAGGGGACAGAGCCAGCCTGTTCTTCGGTTCTAGCCTTCACTTCTATGTGGATGCCCAGGGTCCAGTCTGGACACCATAGGTTCCCACAGGTGAGTGCTGATGTCAATAGAGAAGGCTTTTGAGTGATAGGCTGTACTGCCACTCAGCCTGTGTGGGAGGTCCTAGCACAGCTCCACTTCGACAAAGCTAGCTCCAGGTCCCACGGCAAGGAGGAGCTGGAAGCCAATGTAGTTTATGCCTTCACTTTTTGCCTACACTGGGACACATCACACCCTAGTTTTGTTATCTGTAAAATAATCTATCAGCCTCATCAGGCAACTCAAGGGCCAGCAGCTTGAAGAACAGACCATGGAGGTGCATTAGGAATTCAGCCATGCTGGCCAGGATGCCCTCCTTCCAGGGGCACTGACCCAGCCTCCTCCTTAGTACCCCATCTCTGAGGTTACCAGGTGTGGTAGTTTGAATGAAACAGTCCCCCACAGCTCCCAGGGAATGGCACTATTAGGTGTGGCCTTGTTGGAGGAAGTGCATCACTGGGGGTGGGCTTTGAGGTTTCAAATGCTCCAGCCAGGCCCAGTGTCCCTCTTCTCTTCCTGCTGCCTGCCAATGCAGATGTAGAACTCTCAGCTACCTTTCCAACACCATGTCTGCCTGCATGCAGCCACGCTCCCCACCGTGACGATAACAGACTGAACCTCCGAACCTGTAAGCCAACCCCAATTAAATGTTTTCCTTTTTAGAAGTTGCTGAAGTCATGGTGTCTCTTCACAGCAATAGAACACTGACTAAGGCACCAGGCCTGGGATTGGGGTGGCAGAGAGGACCACAGTACAGAGCTGGGTGCAGATGGAGCTGCCCACCCAGGACATGCTCAGAAGGATGTGGTGTGACCACAGAGATGGGGCGTGGTCATGCCATTTACAGGCTCTGCACCCTCTACCCCTAGGGTTTCTGCACAGGTTATGCTACATTTTTTCCTGAGAGGAAGTGGCCTGAGGGGCTGGCAGGGCAAGACTCCCCCAGTCTCTGGGCATCATTTATTTTCCCAGTGTCTTTGAACTACATCATCTAGTTGAAATAATGTGGCCCCAAGACACAGAAGAGAATCTTTGCCCAGGACAGAATGGAGGGGCCCCAGGCAGGAAGGAGATGAAAGGTATGGAAGAAGCCCCCACCCAAGCTGCCACAGGCCCGCTAGTCCCCCAGGCATCCTTATACAACGTCACTCCTACCTGCTGAGCTGGTGGCCTCCTCCTCTACCTCCTCCACCTCCTCCTTCTCGGGCAGCTCCTGCAGAGACACGTAGAGGGGACACTGGGTGCCTCACTGGACTCCTCCAACTCCTACCCCACCCAGTACAATGGGGGTAGCTCATCTCCTGGGCCATCCAAGGAGGTGACCTACTACCTGTAGAGGGCAGTGTGCATTGAAGTCCAAGGCCCTAAACCCAGGGACCCCTGTGAGGCCCTGTTCAAGGAGACAGAGCTACCCAAGCAGCCACCTCCTGAATCTTTACTCCAGGCCCACACCTCTCTCCACACACCAGCCCCTGGGGATCCCCCTGCAATCTCAGCCCCAGCCTTCTCTGTCCTATGGACAGCTCACCAGCAAACCCCATTGCTACCCCATCATCAACGGCCCCAGGTCCCCGGGGCTTGGGACTTTACCTGGAGTGATGCTATCTGTGGCTGTGTCCTGCCTAGCTGGCACTGGTCCACATCAGCCTCCACCACCAAACAGCTATCCAGCAGGACACTGTGGCCCAAGGGACAGAGGAAAGAGCCAGTGTTAGTGGAGGCTGGCATTTCCAACCCCTGCTGGAGGCCAACGCTGACCAGCAACAGGGGACATAGAGACGTCAGAGGTGTCACATCCACACTGATCGTCTCCTGTCTGAGACAAGGGGCTGCAGTAAAGGCCACAGTTATGCAGGGACAGAGGGCTTCCCCCAGGAAATGGCTTATACACTGGGTCTCAAGGATGACTGGGGAGAGGATTGGTCCAGAAAGAGGACACCAAAGGGGACGTTCAAAGAAGCATCTCTGGGGTGAAACCTGTTCAGAATATATACCCTGAGTTTCCACAAGTCTGAAGGAAACCTTGGTGGCTGTAGGCAAGGAAAGGTATGTAAGAAAAGCAAGGGCTGGTACGCAGCTCAGCAGTGGAGTACTTGCCCAGCATGTGAAAAGCCCTGGTTCCATCCCCAGTGTGGGGGTGGGTGGACAGAGGTGACCTTAACCCAAGGCCCTTGTTGCTTCCCCATGAGTTCAGCGCCAACAGTGCAATGCTGAAGGCCTCTGACGTCACTGGCCCAGACGGCAAGTGTATATGAGGGCTGGGGTGGTGGAGGCCCTGGGAGGGGCAGGGAGGAGACTGAGGCAAACAGAAGGGCTCTTGTTTGTGTCAATGGGACCCCACTCTGTTTGGAATGAGGGGTCAGGGGTATCAGATCTCCTCATTTTCCGGAGGAATCTGAACCAGGTTTTTCAGGTAGACTGTCCTGATATTGGATGCTATGTTAGCATAGAAGAGCTGGGCTCTAGCAATCCCAGCACTCAGGAGGTCAAGGCAGAATTAGAAGTTCAAGACTAGCCTTGGTTATATAGCAACTTTGAGGCTGAGTTACATAAGAATCTTTCTCAAACACCCTGACACACATACACACACACACACACACACACACACACACACACACACAGGAGATTCAGTCAATAGGTTAGAATTGAGCCTTTAGATGTCTGATGTGACCCCTATGTTAGAATGATAACTCAGAACTAAGGGCTTAAGAATATGTGAGTGCACATGTCTGTGCGTGCGCGTGCGCGTGCGTGTGCGTGTGTGTGTGTGTGTGTTTGAACAGGACCTATGTTGTCCAGGCTGGCCTAGAACTTGTGATCCTCCTGGTTCTGGGATTCCAGGCATGTACTTCCAAGCCCAGATTCTTTTTTTTTTTTTTTTGGTTTTTCGAGACAGGGTTTCTCTGTGTAGCTTTGCGCCTGTCCTGGAACTCACTTGGTAGTCCAGGCTGGCCTCGAACTCACAGAGATCCGCCTGGCTCTGCCTCCCGAGTGCTGGGATTAAAGGCGTGCGCCACCACCGCCCGGCCAAGCCCAGATTCTAATGTGACTTTTGTAGTTAGAACTAGGTCCCACCTCCTGACAGCCCCGCCTCCTCATCAGAGCCCTGTCCCCAGGGGTTCACAGCAGATGTTCCAAGGTGTCGGATCTACCCACAGGGCCATGTCTCAGCTCTCCCAAGGTGGGTAAGCAGGCACTGAGACAGGATGTAGTGGAGTCTGTATGGAATCTCCTGCCCGGGATTATGAGTGAGCCTGTAATCACATGGCCGTGGCAGCTTCCACGAACTGGGTGCCAGGGTCTGTGCCAAGCTGTTTGCAACATCACCATCTCCCTGCTTCTTTATCCAAACAACCCTGCCAGGGCTGTGGGGACATTATCCCAGCTTAGGAAACATGGGCTCCGAGAGGCCCAGAGACACCCTGTGGTCACACAGTCTTTGCAAGGTGAGTCCAGGTGCAGACGCTTGCTCTGCCACCACCCTGAGAGTCAGTCCACTGCCTCACATCAGATTTTGACCATGTGCTGGGATATGGATCTCTTCACCCCTAAAAATTTTTTAAAATTACTTCCTGGTGGCATTGTCTGAAGAAAACAATGTCAATTTATAACTTGCAATGTTTTCTTAAATCTAAAAGTTCTTCTTTGAGTCTGTTTTTTAGAAGAAATTAAAAGTTTCTTAGGTTGGAGTGCTTGTCTGACACTCATGAGGCCTTAGTTTCAGTCAAAATAATATTCTAATATTCTCTTGCATCCCTAACATATTTTGGTGCCATGCCTCCCACCACAAGCAGAAGTTGGCCTCATGCAGCTGGGCTTCCTGCACCGCATGAGGGTCTGAGGGGATTCTTCTGGAAACAGCCACAGGGCTCCATCCGCAGCACCTAGCACTAGCCAGAGGCCTCCTCGTCCAGATCCAGTGTCAAGTCTCTATGGCCTTGAGCAAGCCACCATGTCTGGAAACCCCAAGCTACCTCTTCTATTCCTGTGTCAAAAAGACAGGGCCCTGCATGGGCTGCCTGAGGACAGAGGGTCAGGGAACCTGAAATGGAAAAGCCATAAGAATGCCAGGTGCTATCTCAGGATTCTGGATGCTTCTCTCTAAACACAGTGAGATGCTGGCTCTGTCGCCTTTTCACTTTGGAGGAGCCAGACCCAGCCTTGCGCTTCCTGGCAGGGCAGCCAAGAACACAGCTCTGAACCTCAACTTCCCTCTCTGTGAAGTGGGCTCAGTAACGGACCTGGCGTGTTCCTGCTGTCTCTCCGGCATCTGGCAGCTCTTATTATTACTGCTCGTATCCTTACGGCTAATCCCAGAGGCAGCCTGGGCAGCAGGTTAGGACACTGCACACATGCTTTGATAAACAACCTCGGTTAGCAAAGCAACTTACAAGCACAACAGTGGCCCTGTCCACATTACCAAGGGCTGCAGAGGGGGCCATGTTCCAAAGCTATGTTGCTCCCACTCAACAGTATGCACAGTACTTGCCATGGCTTCCTCTTGTCCAGCCTGGAAGCAGTAGCCCCTCAACTTCTAGAAAGTTCCCAAGCCCCAGGGATCTCTGAGCAGAAGCGCAGAGATGCGCTGAGGCAGGCTTCCAGCAGGCCCCGGCTTAAGGGTTAAGATGCCATAGCCATGGTAGCGTCTAAAGTCTAGCAGCCGACTCCTCCCCACCCACCACAGGCCATGCCCCCCAAGTTCAGGTCTGCGGGTCACCTTCAGCATGTTCCTCCTCTGAAATTTCAGCTCAGAAGGAAGAGAGGATAAACGATCAGAGAAGGGAGCAGCCACCTACTTGGTTCTCCCGGGCTCTGCTGGTAGGGGGGCCCATGCTGCAGTAGGTCAGCCTGGGGCTGGGACAATCACGCCAAGCCTGGTACTGGAGCATATGAGTGGAGCTGTGAAGAACCCGGGGTCAGCCGGGACAACAGCTTCTAGGATGCTGTGACTGACTCAGCATGGAGCCACTGGTCCTTCCTACCTCTAACCACACCAATGGCCTGGCAGGGAACTGCAGGAACGCTCCAGAGAGGGCAGGTGGGGACCATGGGCCAAGGTTGCTAGGAAAAGCAGAGCTATTGCCTGCAGAGACAGGGTTGCTAGGTGACCATCTGCGTTACCAGGGCCTTCACGTCATCAGTAACCTGTGTCTCTGCAAAGCTGGCCAAGGGCATCCTTCCCCAGACAGTAACAACCCAGCCCAGCCTGTCCCCAGCTTCACATCTTCTGTATCTGGGACCACTCACTGTCACCACAGAGCCCAATTTAAATTCTTAATTTAAAACTGGGGGTGTCTACTTGTAAGGATGTATGTGTGCCTGAGGTGTCTGAGCTGTGTAGACACATGCAAACATGTACATGAGTACCTTTGTGCACACATGTGAGTTGGTGCGATGATGCATGTGTGTAAATGTGTATGTGAGTGTGTGCAGCCAGTGTGTGTCATACACATGTCACTATGTCTGAGGACACACATATACATTTGTGTGGGCCTATATGGCCATTGGCCTTTGGAGGTGTCTCAGTTCAAGAACAGGGGCATGTGCCAGAATTTTCAGGCGCACAGGGTCAGCGGGAGAGTAACTCAGAGCCAGCACTGTGTGTATAGGTGGATGGAATGCAGAGCACACAGCAGCCTGCACTCCCACCTGGCTCCAGTGTGAGGGAAAGACCCAGAGGACTGAAGTGGGGGGTGGGGCACATGCTTAGTTTTCCCAAAAAAAAAAAAGACTTTCACGGTGCTAGGAATGGGATGGAAACCTTTTTATTGATTGATTGATTGATTGATTGATTGATTGATACAGGGTTTCTCTGTGTAACAGCTCTGGCTGTCCTGGAACTTGCTTTGTAGACCGGGCTGGCCTCCAACTCACAGAGATCCACTTGCCTCTGCCTCCTGAGGGCTGAGATTAAAGGCATACGCCATCATGCCCAGCTCAGAAAGTTTTACTCTTAAAAAATTGTTTGCATATGTATGTGTATGGTGGATGTGCACAAACATAGGCATGTTTCTATGTGTGTACACACAGGTTTGTGGCATGTGGAGGCCTGCGGCCTTCCTCCATCGCTTCCTGTTGTATTCATGGAGACTCTCTCAATTGAACCCAGAGCCTTAGCTGACTGGTCTGGCTAACCAGCTAGCTCTGGGAATCTCACTTCCACCTTTCAAGGGTTAAATTACAGACAGGCTGCTACGTCACTTGGCATTGGTGTGGATTCTAGAGATAGATCTGAGCTATCTCCCCAGTCCCTAGATAGCTTTCGAGAGGCGATGAGTTCCCTCATCACTGGAGGAAGGCAAGAGGAAAGTGTGGCTCCTGTCATGGTTGGGAAGACGAAAATAAACTGAACAAGAGTGCCCCGAGAGCTGATGTCACCCCATAGATTCTACATCGATCTTACATTGGTTTTGTGGCTAACTGTTTCTCGACTGGGGATGAAGTAGCCCTGAGCGGGGACAAGGACTTGGTCACCAATGGGCCCTTGCTCCAGACAGGCCCTACTGCACCCACTGACTACCATCGCTGTGGCCCCTCTGCAAGGGCTTCTGTCAGCCCCCTACAGCTGTGGAGGTGGCACCGGAGAGGGGAGCCACTTGCCAGGTAACCCTGCTGACAGCCATGGCACCATTCTGGAGCAAAGCTCTGCTCTGAACACTTGTGGTGTTGCCGGGACGCAAGCTCTAGCCGAGAAGACCACCCAGGGTCACAGGTCGGGGTCAGCGCTGTGACAGCGGCCAGACAGACAGACACAAAGACAAGGCAAGGGGTTACAGCCAGGGATGGAGAGGTTTCCTGTCCACGGCAGCTGCTCCCCTGCCCTCCCTGCACGTACCTCTCTCCAGACGGCTGCCAGCTATACCACCCTCCCGCTCACAGACCACCAGTGCCCCTGTGGCTTTTCGGAAACCAGGTCCAAGGCTATCGTAACCTGCTTCAGAGGCAGTCCGCTTTGAACACGGACTGTGTGCTCTTCTCACCCCGCGTTCCCTCGCTGGTGGAGTCCTTCAGACCCTCTTCACGGACCCTCTCTGAGAGTGTGTGCCTGGCCTGTGCTCTCTGCTCACTCATTCGCTGCTTCCTCCCAGCCCACAGCTCCCTCCTCTGCCAAATCTTACACCAAGTCTCCAGCTCCTGACTCAGTCAGGGATCAGTCTTCCATGTTTTAATCTTTATTCAAAATGTACTTTGTGGACTCTAATGCCACCTCTGTGTGGATGTGGGAATCAAGCGTTACTGGACAACAGAACAGAACCCAAGGCGGCTGTAGACACTATCAGCAGCCACCTCAGGATCATTGGCGTGTGTGTGTGTGTGTGTGTGTGTGTGTGTGTACATGCATACAAAGGGGAGACAACCTTGGCTTTGCTGTTAAAAGAGAAGTACTGTGAGCTCAATGCATGTGTTCACTCACGCATCCATGCATGCATTAATTTTACATTTATTTAGTGCCTACTGTATAATGGGCATCTGAGATATGGTCGTGAAAACAACCGGCTCAAGTCTCAGATTTCACAGGGGTGCACCTGTGTGAGTTGGAGGGGGGATGTCGGACTGAGGGCTCATTGTGAGCACAGTGGGGACCCCAGTTTTCCCAGTCCTCTGGTCAATGCCCAACAGTGCTCAGCACAGAACTAAGACAGAAAACACCCACCCCAGGATCCCCTAATCCTACTGCCCGGGACAAGTGACTTACATAGGCTCCTCTTCCTCCTCTTCCTCCTCCTCTTCCTCCTCCTCATCTTCTCTTTCCTCTTGAATCTGGGGCAACTCCCTAAGTCAGGGCAAAGGCAAGAGGTGAGCCCTCCAGTGCTGCTCCAGCCCTCCTCCCCATCTCTGATATGTGTCCTGGGACTTCCAGCAGCTCCACCCAAGAGCCCCTCACCAGCCACAACCTGTCTACACTGTCCTGAGGGTGACTTGAGGACGGCTCTGAGCTTCAGTGAGCCTCGTTTTCCCCTTACGTATTTCTTAGCAATGCAGGTCGGGAGCTTGAACTGCTCATCGTGACAGTCCCTTCTTTTCAAATGCTTCTCTGACATGAAAGCCATCATCTTGCTCTCCCCCACCAGGCCTCAACGTGGGCCCAAAGTCATAGGGCCACTGCCCATGGACTGAAAACGTTCTTCCGAAGCTTTGAGCTAAAACAAACCTTCTTTCTTTATACGTTGGTGACCTTGAGTATCTGATTACAACAGGAAGATGACTAACCCACAACCTAAATGTCACCAGAGGAGAGTCGGAACACAGTCCAAGAATGGAGTCGTGCAAAGGGAATTCTGGGTACTTGTGAGAAAACCCCAAGAAAACAAGACAAGAGTCTTGTGACCTCAGTTTCTTCACAAACATGGAATTGTTCTGGAAATGTGCTTTTGTGCCCCTCCCAGATGTAGCGGAGAGGAATGAGTGTACTTCAGATTGTTCATTATGACTGGATATTGCTATTTGTTTATATGCCTCTATGGGAAAACATGTTTTTGCCACGTGCAGCTTACCCTTGTGATTGTACACTTTACTCATGTGACTCTTCTTAACTCTGGAGTATAAATTGGCTGATGCTCTGAATAAAGTTGGCTATTGCATAAGACTTTAGTCTGCCTCATTTTTAGGCTCCACTCTCCTGGGTTCATGCCTCCAACTAGAGCAGTAAACAGTGGAAGGCATGTTAAAGCTGGGCTCAGTGGCACACATCTTTAATTCCAGCACTTGGGAGGCAGAGGAAGACAGATCTCTGTGGGTTTAAGGCCAGCCTGGTCTACATAGTGAGCGCCAGGCCAGCCAAGACTACATAGTGAGACCTTGTCTAAAAACAAACAAACAAAATAACAAACAAATTATGGTCTAGCCATATAACCGTATACTATACAATATGAAAACAATGAGGATGATTTCCACCTAGTGAATTATGACCAAATATAACAAGGGGTAGATAAATACACATGATAGGCCATCTTTTGTGCAAAAACAAACAAACAAAAAACAAACAAATAAAAACAAAACAGAGAGGGATTGTCCTGGTTAGCCAAAATTGTCAACTTGACACAGCCTAGAGTCATCTGAAAGGATGACTGAATTGAAGAACTCAACTGAAGAACTGCCTGGGTCAGAGTGGTCTTTGGGTATGTCTGTGGGAGATTGTCTTGATCATTAATTTATGATCAGGCTCAGCCCACTGTGGGTAGTACCATTCCCTGGGCAAGTGGCCCAGGGCTATGTAAAAAGCTAGCTAAACATACGCCTAGAGAGCAAGCCAGCAAACAGCATTCCTCCACCGTTTCTGCTTCAAGTTCCTTCCTGACTCCCTTCAATGGTGGACTATGACCTGGAAGGATAAGCAGAAATAAACCCTCTCCTCACCTATGCTGCTTTTGAGCAGCGTGTTTCATCACAGTAACAGAACCAAATTAGAACAAGGGTTCCATGTGTATCTGTCCCCAGCCTACCTCTTGCATGGGGTCTGGTAGCCTTGTGCCCAGGGGCTGTGGGCAGGTGCTGAGAGTGGAGGGGCAGGTGTGGTCCTGCACTGGGCCCTTTTATGACTTTAGGATTCCACACTATATGCCTGGTACCTTCTCAAGCACTGACTCCTTTTCCAGGACTTCTCTGTTTTCCCACCTGGGCATCTCCACCATGGCCTCGCTTTCTTCTTCATAAACTGGAGCCATCTCTGTCTCCTGCTGGTTGGCATGGTCTTCCCATTGGCTGGCACTGTCTTCCCGCTGACTGGCACTGTCTTCCTGCTGGATGTCCTCCCAGCAGGGGTCCACCTCCTCGAGGACAAGATCATGCTCCACCTGGTCCACGGGGAGGATGCTGACTGCAGAGGATAAAGAGGAGCCATTTGTGGGGTAAGGAGGGTAGCTTGTGACCCCTCAGTCCTGGGGGTCCATCCTGGGGGCCTTACCCCAGGGCCTTGGCTCCTAGCTGGCTGGGTTACCAACAGGATCATACGCAGCCAGCTCAATGCCCCAGGGACAGCCTCAAACAACACAGTCACTCATTCAGCCTCTTCCCATGACTCTCTGCCTTTCCCCTCTTGGGAAAGAGCTCTGGTTACAGCTGACCAAGCTTGCTTCCTATCAGGGCTTTCCTTCTTAGAGGTTTGGCCAGAGCACAAAGAATATTCTATTCACAGCATCACAGCTGATGTCAGAGGACCCAGACTAGACACTTCACCACCTCCAGGGACAGAATATAGTGGATTGTCCCAAGGAGTGCAAACAAAACCTACTCCTTGCCTATTTTCCGGGTGCCGTCTCTTGTCTCATGTCTATGAGCTCAGCACCTGCTTCTAGGAGCTTTATCTCTCCCTCTAGGCTGAGATCTCCACTGTCTGAGACAACGTGACTTTGTCATCGGGACATGGAAAACAATTTCAGGTGCCTGTAAGTTTTAACATTTCTCCATGTATCCTGACCCCTGACTAGAAAATGATGTGAGCCTGCTAGACAGTAGGTTCAGACACCTGGGTGTGGTGGTTCACACCAGTAATCCCAGCACTTGAGAGGCAGAGGCAAGGGGATTTCTATAGGGAGGATTGAGATGTGGTGAGTTCTAGGCCACCCTGGGCTTCACAGGGAGACTCCATTTCAAGAAACAAGGAAGTGGGCTCAGGACATCTCACGGGAAACCCAGCTCACCCTAATCAAGGAGGAAAGGGGAAACTTCCTGCACCCCAGCTGTTTCTCAAAAGTTCCAGGGGTCTTGGTGGCCCTCAAGTCAAGCATGAACTAGTAATGGTGACTCCCTTGGTTTGGGGACATAGGAACTTGCTATGCAGCCCAGGCTGGCCTCAAACTTTTGAGAGGGTGCCACTGCATCCCAGGCAATAAACATGCCCGTGAGCACTTCCCCAGGACGGGGTGCCCCACCGGGTACTGCTGTCCCCTGTGTTACCATCCTTACTTCCTTTCCTGTGAACTCTTTTTAGATGCTCTGAGGTTGTTGGCCCTTCGGGAGCATTTCCTCTCTTCATCTCTGCAGCAGGGCTACAAGGTGCCTTAGAATGTGCCTGTTTACAGCCAAATATACCACAACTCTGGCAAGGATGAAGTGTAGCCAGCGGGGGCCATGGGTGGGAGTCCTGCAGGCCTCTAGGAGAAGTGGCTGCCTGCAGTGCTCTGGGTCCTCTCTAGATCAAGAAGTAGTTTACTTCTTGTTCTCCACAGCCCACCCAGGAGCCCAATACTGGCTCAGACCATGTTTAACTTTCACCCCTGGAGTCTTTCATGGACATGCTACTTTCCAGTCAGCCACCTGTCTGCCCCCAGGGCCACTGCATGAGATTCTGACCCCAGTCAGTGGCAGACAGTTTTTCCACTGAGATAGGAGCTCCTGCTTCCAGGAAGTCTGGGCACATAGGTTCTCACCAGGCCAAACATTCTGGCCTCAGGTTTCTTGAAAGCCAGGGCCTGTGCGTCAATCTATCTTCTCTAGCAGGAGTAGCTCATGACGCCCTTTTCCTCTACTCCAGGCTACATTTCTTCCCACCTACTCTGCTCTGAAGCACGGGCCCTCCCTCACCACACACATCTCTGAAGATATGGTCCCAGGCATTGCCATCACGAAAATCACATGGGGAGGCAGGTGCCTCTTGAAAATGTAGATTCCCAGGATGCCCATACCCCAACAATGAGGTCTGGAGGTGGGGCATTCTTCATGATTGAGCCTGGTCATGTGGGATACGGTCCTGCCTTGAGAACATCTCCTGTCTGTAGCACTTGTTCAGCCCCCAGAGTAATCTTTGTGAAGTTAATCCCCTCTCAATCACCCTCCGTGGCTCCCCATTGCCTAGAGTGTTAAACTTCTAGTTTCGACTTCATCCTCAAGGGCTTGGGATCCCGGTCGGCTGGGCTGATGTGTCCAGAGTTCTCCAGCCCCTTGCCCTCACCTCCAGGCATTTCCCACTTTATTCTCTCTGTAAGACTGCCCTTTCTCACTGCAAACTCACATGGCGTATGTAAATGAAGGGACAAATGCCACCTGCCTGCAGGTGACAGCCGCTGTTCAGATCTTTCTCATGAGCACAATGAGATGTAGGCCATCACAGCCAGAGCATCCTGTTTCTGACAAAAGCCTGGCCCTTCTGTGGAAGCTGATTTTTAATTTTTGTTTATTTATTTATTGAGACAGGGTCTCTCTGTATAGTCCTGGTTGTCCTGGAATTCGCTTTGTAGACCAGGCTGGCCTCAAATTTAGAGATCCGCCTGCCTCTACCTCCCAAGTGCTGGGATTAAAGGCATACGCCACCATGGCCCAGCATGAAAGTTGATTTTTTTTAAAGGTTGACAATTCTGTCTCAAAATCAATCTAAATAAAGACATCTAGGGGCCACTGGGACCTCAGGATCCCTGGCCAATTCCTCCATCCTATAACCCCAGTACCACAGGCATTGTATTCAACTCGCCTGTTTTTAGTACCGAAGTACTCCAGGGTTGTGGGGTATATTTGCAATTCCAACAATCAGGAGGCTGAGGCAGGAGGAGGGAGAGCTGGAGGCCAGCCTGGAACGTACAACAAGAATCTGTCTAAAAAAAAAAAAAAACAACCCACAGGCCTCTTTCAGACTTGTCCTAAGAATACCATGCAGTGGCAGGTTTGAGGTGCAAAGTCACACTCTTTAATGTCAATTACAATGTCACAGTTGGTGGTGGTCCTTGACTCTCGGAGAGAGAACCAGGGCAGACCTTGGGAGAATCACTTGCAGGGAAACAGGGTCCTGAGGCAGTGTGGATGGTACCAGGTGCCCCGGTGTGAGCATGCTCAGACACTGAACACCGAGGTCTTAATAGGGCTCTCCATAGTCTCCCACCAGGAAGTCCTTCTTGCTCTTGCTCTGGTCAGGGTGCTGTCCCTTGGCCAAGAGCCCCAAGAGGAAGCTCTGGGGTTTCACATAATGACTCTGGTTTCCTCCGTCCTGTCTAGGGTTCACTATTCAAGGAGGGTGGAGATTAGCAGTCATTGCCCCCTAAAAGGTCTTCTCTTGAAGCATCCTTCTGTCCTTCATCCATCCATCCGTTTGTCCATGGGCTCCCCAGGTCCCCTTCTCCCATGTTTCAGAGGCCTCCAGCTGCTGTCACCCCTGAAACAAAGGAGGTGACAGAAATGTGGGCACCTGAGTGGACAGATAGAGGATGCATGGATAGATGGACAGATGGATGGATGGATGGATGGATGGATGGATGGATAGGTGGATGGATGGATGGATGAATGGGCATCTGAGTGGCCAAGCCGAGGATGGATGGATGGGTGGGTGGGTGGGTGGATGGATGGATGGATGGATGGATAAATGAATACATGAATGTCCATCTACCACCTGCACTAGGTTACCCATTTCCAGTAGTGCTGCCCCTGCCTGTCTCCTGCCTGACCTCACCCTTCTGTCTTTCAGTGATGTTGCCACATACCTTCCAACTCATCACAGGGAAGGAATCCCAACTCAAGGGCTCTGGAGTCCCAAGAATCTGTTTCCCAAGAACATCCCATCCCTCACCGCTTTCCCAACCTAGACTCTGCTCAGCTGAACCCACATGCCCAGCTTCCAGAGTCCAGTCCCCAGTTCTGGGTAATTGCCAACAGGGAAGGGTGTGGACTTGGCTTCACAGCTGTTTTCCTGATAGAGGCTAGAAGCCAAAGAGGAAAAGCTCTAGCCACCCGCTCCACCACTGCTACCCAGAGACACTGAGCGGGAGCGGGCTCTCTCAATTCCAGGTTGGGAGACCCTAATTGTGCCTCAAACTCAGGCCTAAGTGTATCAAGCGGCTCTCCCTGGAGTGAACATGGGGCCCACGAGTGTGATACTTACTGGTCTGCACATCACATGTCCCAGGGCAGCCAGGCTCCTGCATGGAGAGAAAAGAGTCGACCTGCCGAGGCTGCTTCACCTGCCTCTCTCCTGTGACTCTATGGAACGGCCATCTTCTCCTTCCAATACCTGGAAGTCTTCTCCCTACTATACCTGCTTCCCCTGCTGCCACGGTCCCTAGAGTCCTCGGTCATCGCAACATCTTCATTAGCTAATGGTTCCTGCCCCTTATACGCTTGGAAATCTCTGAAGCCGGTTCACTCTGCACCTCATGCATACCCTTCTGCATGATGAAGGGTATGAAACACTAGCCTGGCTAGTTCTCAGTACCTTCTGCTCAGCCTCCCTCAGCATTGAGCCAGCTGGGAAGGGAGAAGTGTGCAGACCTAGGTATGGACCCAGGGTGTCCGGCTCTTGGCACACCTCCCATTAAACAAAGAAAATCCTTGCTAGTCCTAGAGCCAATGAGGGAAGAATAGGGTACTTGGCTTTCTGAGACAAGGTAGGGTGCCCTGAAACAACCTCAGCAAGGCGCCTGCTCAGAAGTGCTGGGCTGGCTAGGACCTTAAGGGCCCCAGAGGCCTAGGACCAGTCCAGGCCCACCACTCTCTGGCTTACTTTCAAAGCTCTTTCCTTTTTTTCACAAGGCTTGGGTGGTAACAGAACTGTTCACCTACTTATTAGGAGGGATAAAGTAAGGTTCTCAGAGGACCAGGGCCAATGTCACACAGCCACTTGCCAGTTCTAAGTGCTTCTATGGAGATGTGACTTGTCCCCCAGAAAGGAGAATCAGGCCCTAGCCTCCTGATGAAGAAAAGAAAGAGGTGAGCAAGGCCCTGCTTCCACATCACCCACGTTGGGCCCTGAGCTGCCAGGAACGCTCACGGAGCCTGTGGGCTTCCTGGGAACGACACTTCTTCCTGGAGCGTTCCTGGTCTCTGAATCTTTGTACATTCTTGGGGGTCACTTCCGCTAGCAAGCCTTCCTTGGTGCTCCAGGAGACTCCGTCTCTGAGCTCCACCACCCCTGTAGAAGTCCCTAGACTGTCAGCTCCTGACCGCTGCTGCGGCTACAGTGCCTGAGCAAATGTGTGCACACAGGCAAGCTCCAAGGCTGAGTTGCCACTGACGGCTCCCTTCTTGCTGTGGCCCCCTTCCCCAGGGACCCGTGCCAACCATCCAACCCTTATCTGAGCTCCCAAGACTCCTCCCTCACCACCACCCGGCCAGGGCCTCTCCTGCCTGGCTGCCCACTCACCGGCTCTGCAGCTTTCCCATGGAGCACGGGCTGTGGCAGGGCCATCTCCAGCCTGTGTAGAAGCCACTCAATCAGCCTGTAGTGGAGAGATGAGCTGAATCCAGGCGGGAAGACTCAGGGTGGGGAATCGGGGCAGAACAAGTCTGCCAGGAGGCAGGTCGGGTCAGAAGCCAGCCCCAGGTCTCTAACCCTCAAGGCCCCTTCCTCCCCTCCCCATCCTTCCCCGGCAGCCCTAGCAGGGAGCTCAGCTCAGCTCTCATCTTCACCTCACTTCAGATATGCATTTCCAGTCTCTCTCACACCCCAGCACATGAGCACTGGGCCGCACCCAACCGGATTTTAGAAGCATGTAGCCTTTAGTCCACACATTTGCTCCTGGTAACCAAGCAGGGCGTGTACAAGGTTTTTGATGGCAGGAAAAGTGTAAAACAGTTCTAAGTGCTCCTGTGCGGTTAAATAAACGAAGCGCTATGTAGTTCTTTGCAGCGATTGATGGAGTGAAGTTGAACTGGTGTATAAAACCACCTCTGAGAGACTTCTTCAGAAAGTGTGTGTGTGTGTGTGTGTGTGTGTGTGTGTGTGTGTGTCTGTGTGTGTGTGTGTCTGTCTGTCGTTTACGCGCATGAACAGGTGTGTAAGTCTGTGCAGTGGGGCAGAGACCAGAGAAAGGTGGCAGGTACCCTCCTCTATCATTTTCTGCTTGTTCCTTTGAGGCAGAGTCTCTCCCTAAACCAGAGACAGGATCTCTCCACAAACCTGATCAAGGTCTCTTCATAAACCCGAGGCAAAGTCTTTGCCTAAACTGAGAGCTTAAGTTTTCTCAGCTTGGGTGGCAGCCAGCAAGCAATCCCCCTGTCTCCATCCTCTGCCCCAGTGCTGGGGTTGGTTACCGTCCTGCACAGGACCATGCTCACTTTTACATGGGTGCTGGGATCTGTATTCTGGTGCTCATACTCATGGAGTGAGCTAGCACAGTATGAGGAGTGAGCTTGCCCAGCATGAGCAGTGAGCTTGCCCAGCAAGCACTCTTAACCACTGAGCCAGTTCTCCAGACCCTAGGGAACTTACTTTCTTAAGTGAAAAAAGGGAAGATGTAAAAGAATATTTGCAATTTACTTTTGATAGGTGTGTGTGTGTGTGTGTGTGTGTGTGTGTGTGTGTGTGTGTGTGTTGCTTGTTTTGAGACAAGATCCGACTATAGAGTCCAAGCTGGCTTTGAACTTATGATCCTCCTGCCTCAGCTTCCTGAGTTTACAGGTGGGCCCTTGGTTGATGTTTAAAGGAAAAGTACACTCCCCAGCCTGGCTGATGAGGTTTGCCTGGGGAGTCTGAGTTTTCTCCCAAGCGCATGTTTCAACTTTCTAACTAGTGTTGGGCTAGAGCCAAGCACTGAGCCTGCTCCCTCTGGGAGGTGTGGCCTTTCGGGAGCTCACCTGACAGGGTCCCCAGGTGGTGGCAGGGAAGAGACCTGGAAGCCGGGCTGGGCCTCTACAGCTGGCTCCTCCTCAGGCTCCAGGGTTTCAGGATTAGGCTGGGAGGGAATCTCTGTGGGCTCTGTCTCCATCGGGGGTTCTGGAGGATCTGAGGGTAGGAGAGCCAGCACTAAAGACCCCATAACAGGGTTTCGTCCAATCCCTCCCGGGTATAAAGGGCCAGATGTGGAGACTTGACATGGCTGGGTGAAGAGCCCCTTGGGGACCACCCTAACATCAAACAGTACAGGAAGGGAAAGGGACCTATCCAAGCTTGTGAAGTCCAGCTGACTCTAGCCACTGGAGTCCCAGGTCTGACTAGCGTGGGGTTTCCAGTCTTAGCAAGGACTGAACTGTCCCCTGCCTGGCTGAGCGCTAAGGCTTCCCTGAGACCACACACACACACACACACACACACACACACACACTCAGGTTCCCCTGGAGCCCAGCCTGTGACTACTTAGGAAGCCCCTCCCAGGTCCTCTGTACCTGGGTCCAAGACAGCAGCCTCAGGTTCAGCACTCCAGGCCTGGAAGACAGAAAGGGTCATGCTTGTACCTCACATTGATGAGCTGGGCCCTGGGCCCATGCGCTCACACATGTGTGCGTGGTGCTGGTGGTGGGACCATGATGGTTAATCTCCTTTGTTAACTTGATTCAGGATCATCTAGGAGACACACCTCTGGACAGGTCTTTTAGGGAGTTTCCAAAGAGGTTCAACTCAGCAAGGAAGACCTACTCTGAATGTGGGTGGCACCATGTCATGGATTGGGGTCCCAGACTCAATAAAAAGATTTAAGAGAGAGACAGACAGACCCACTAGCACTCATTTCTGTCTGCTTCATGACTGCAGATGCCGTGGTTCCCCACAGCACCACGGTAGATGGCACCCGCTTTAAACCGTGAGCTAACATAAACTCTTTAAGCATCTTTTTTCAGGAATTTTGTTTCATCACTAAGAAAAGTAATTAATACAGTGGCTCTATCTTGCTCCTAAATGTCCCCAGGCCCTAGTCAGTCACTCCTCCCATGGAAGACACTCCAAGGAGAAGATCCATTCTCCAGTGGATGTTGGGGCTTGGCCATGGCTGGAGTGGGTAACTCCCTGGGCCTCAACCCTCCCTGCTGGTCAGCTGCCCACCCCCAACTCATCACTTACCTCAGAGGGTTTAGGGGGCTGAGGCAGCACTTTCTCCAGATTCTGCTCAAGCCACCTGAGCAGCCACAGGCTGGGCCTGCAGAAGGGTCAGAGATCGGGTGGCCTGAATAAGGGCCATCTGAGCTACCTTCCTGCCCACTGGGGTCTAGGCCTGGCCAGCCTTCTACACCAGGAGCAAGGAGCCAGCCGTCTAAGGAATGAATGACTGAAGGGGTGGATGGAAAGAGACGGTTGGGACGGAAGACATGAGTCTGGGTTTCTTGAGGAAATCACAAAGTGGTCCTTCAGGCTGACATTGGGGACATGACAACCTGAAAACTTCGTAACTGGCAATAGGTACTAATTAAGGACTTTATATAAAAATCCTAGCCTTGAGCTTTATTTTGTACTTATTTTTTGTTTGGTTTGCTTTTGAGACAGAGTCTAGCTATAAAGCCCCAACTGGGTTCAAATTCATGACTCCCCAACCTCAGCCTCCCCAGTTCTGGAGTTATTGGTTACAGGTGTGTGCCCGTGCATCCAGATTGGTTTGTGGCTTTTCATAAAACACAGGAGGCTCTGCAGTTACCTCAGGCAGAGGTGGCTGAGAGTGGACAGGGCCCCTCCCTGAGCAGGCTCCCCAATGTGTCATTGTCCCCATCTGGCCTGACACCCTCACTGATAAGGCAGCTAGCTTCTTTTGAGAAGTCCTAAACTTTGAGGCTGAGATAACCAGGGAGCACATTCCCTGTGGGGGTCCAAGTCCTGCCTCCAGGTGCCACACAGGCCCCACGCCCAGAAGTCTGTCTGCACAGAGCTTATCCATACTCCCTTTCCTTCTCAGAGGTGGCCCCACACAGAGGCTCCAGCAAGCAGCGGAAAACGTGGACAGCGTGGGGATTACACCACCCCATGCTACAGGTAAGAAAAGTGGGGGTGAAAAGAGGGAAGAGACTGGGTGTGGTGGTGCACACCTTTAATCCCAGCACTCGGGAGGCAGAGGCAGGCGGATCTCTGTGAGTTCAAGGCCAGCCTGGTCTACAGAGCAAGTTTCAGGACAGCCGGGGCTATACAGAGAAAGCCTGTCTCAAACTCCACCCCCAGCAAAAGAGAGAGAGAGAGAGAGAGAGAGAGAGAGAGAGAGAGAGAGAGAGAGGAAGAAGAAGGAGGAGGAGGAGGAGGAGGGTTCAAGGAAGAGGAAGAAGGAGAAGAAGGAAGGAAAAAGAAAGGAAAGAGGGAAGAAACATGCTTCAGGTCACGTGGGAGGTGGCAATAGCCCCTGCCCTGAACCCCAGGCTCTCCCCTCTGCACACTGCTTGGCCCACTACAGACGACAGTGACATTAGCTAACAAAGACTTACTCAGTATCTTGAGCCCCGGAAGCATCATCTGAACCATCTGCAGACCCTACAGAGTCAGGAAATAAAGGACAGGGAGGCAGGATGAGGAAAGATTGCCCAGGGGGTACAAGACTGCACTTAGAGATTGTCACAAGCCCTGGCTGAGCAGAGGTGGGTACAGACAGCAGCTGACCCCTGCACGTCTCCAGATCTACAGAAGAGACCGAACGTTTTCACCCGGAAGAAATGAGAATTGTCTGAGGACAGACACAGGTGGGTTTAATCTGATTATAAAAGCAGGTGGGGAATAAAACATCACCAGTAGCCCTTAAAACACACTGTTATGTTTTATGTATCAGTTAAAAAATAAATTGACAAATTAAAAAATATCCATGAAGTCAATGGAGAAAGAGGAGGGAAGGAAGGAAAATGATAAAGGGGGGAGAGGGGGGGGGGAAGAGGAGAAAGCCAGCGGAGAGGAAGTGGGGGGATAATATTATCAAGAGCAAACACTTGCCTGGAACCCCAGGTCAGCCTGAAGCAGCACTAAGACCACTCAAATCAGGCCACTCTGGGCCAGTGGATGGGCCACTCCCACGGACCCCACTTCTCCCCAATTCCAGGCCCATCCCGGTCTCCTCTTAGAGGGTCCCACCCTTAGAAAGCCGTCCTGCTTTTTGGTCTCACCTGGTTCCCCAGTGCCACTGGGTCCCAGAATCTGTGCTCCAGCCTGCTGAGACAGACAGACAGAGACGTGACAGGGAGTCCAAGGAGCAGCCTCCCTGACCCCACAACCCTCTGCCGACCCTTCCTCCACCCGCATGTCACCCTGCCCTTGCACATCACCCTGCCCTTGCACGTCACACTGCCCTTTTTACCTGATCTGGGTCTCCCACTCCGGCGGCCAGGTTCTTGCTGCTGCAGACAGGCTGTGGCACCACCTTCTCCATGTGCTTCCAGAACCAGGTCAGCAGCCAGGCGCTGGGGCTGCCAAGGGATAGGGACACCAGTCCACTGTCAGTCCCCACACCGTCAGAGTGGTAGCCCATCTATCCCAAAGGACTTGACATGAACCAAGCCTGTCTCCCCTGGTGAGTATTTCCAACCTCACTTCCTCTCTGTTCAACACAGGGTACCCTCCAGGCCCTAGCCAAGGAGGTGAGGGAGACCTTTGGAACCTGCCTTCCGGGTGCTCCACACAGCCCAGCCAGCCTCTCTCTATACCCCAATTAGCTTGCTCCTGCCAGCGTTCATGTTTGGTACTCTGAAAGGATTCCCCTTAGAATATCTCTGGAGGCAGAGACCGAGACTGATCTGTTCGTGTGAGGATCCTGAGTTCCTGCCTTTCGTCAGCCCCAGCCCAAAATGTGCTTTGGTCCGAACTCTATGGATTAAAATGGCTAAGCATCAGGAACACTGACTTCCCTGGGAAATCAGCAGCTCCAGCTGCTCTCTGAAGTTACCCCAGCACTGATACCATTCTGGCTCCCCGATATTACCATGGCTTGTTCTCTCTTGACCACCATCCCCATTATGCTCAGAGCACCACCACCCCAGCCTCCATGAAAGTTCCCATAACCATGCCCTGATGCTCTGGGCCTCTATCGAACGGCCACGGACCTGATTCACAGCTATCCCCTCCACACCAGTGGCTCCCTGCAGGGGCAATTGCAAGAGGAGAGGGTGATATGGTACCTGTTCACCTTGGCAACAGCAACCTGGGCCTGATGGGTAGGCTGAGGAGGGTCAGTTTCCTGGGCCTCTGGCAAAAAAAGAATGTTCCATATTTCAAATGTGGACCCCAGAGAGGCCCATTTCTCCCTTGCTAGGGAGATCAAGTCAGAGGCAGGGCAGAAGGAGGCCACTGAGGGGTTAGAGGTGAGCTTCTCAGCTCAGCTCCACTGAAAAGGCCCTAGGAGCCACACCAAACTTCCCTGAGCCTCCACTTCATCATCTGTGAAGTGAGCTGCTGCTAGGCTCTGAGAGGAGACCCCGGCCCCCTGCCCAGTCAGCCTGGGTCCCAGCACTCACCTTGAAGGCTAGGGCCAGCCTCAGCTACGCCCTCCCCTTCCATTGGCTCCTCCCCTTCCATTGGCTCCTCAGGTGGCTGTGGGGTTCAAACAGGACCGGTAAGCCTTGATGAGGCTGCCCGTGCAGAAAGGGCAGCCTCTGGCTCACCCTAGGGACCTGCAGTCCCCAAAGGTCAGTGACTCATTTCAGGGTCATCTGTGTAAGTCCTGCCGGACTCACCCTCCACCCAGGGCCCTTCCTTCCTCACGGGGGTCTCTGCACCCAGGCTGTTTCCGTGGCCTGAGAAGAGGGAGGAGCCTCAGGACAGACTTGGAGAACAGAGGTGCTCCTCCGTCAGGCCTCTTCCTCCTGGTGCCCTAAGTTCCCTTCCTGCCTCTGCGGGTTTGCCTCCTCCTGTTCTGCAGCCTCCTCTACGCCTGCACGCTGTGTGCAGTTGCAGACAGCAGTGCATGGCATCCATGCAGACATCCAAAGGTGTACACCCGGACCTGGGCCTGGAGGACAGTGGGCAGGTTTCCAGGCCTCTGGAAAAGAGTCCCACACTTCAGATCTGGTCTCCCAAGAGGCCCATTTTTCCCTGAGGTCACATTTATGTCTATGTACACATAGATGTGATCATGCATATCACACTGTTATGCATACAGCAGTGATACTCATGTATGCACAAATGTATAAAACAAGTGCATTCATACAAATACACTTGCATATATACATGTCAGCAATACAACTATGTTCATATACACACATGTAGACATGTCAGTGTATATACACATAAACACATGTGCATACAGATACATTTGCATATGTATAAAGACAGGAATTTGCATATACACATGCATGTATATGCTCAGACACATAAACAGGCATTTGCACAATTATGCAAGCTTGTCTATAAGCATGTATATGTACACATACACATATACAAATATATACACATCTAAAATATACACAAGTATACATGTCGCATATAAAATACATATGTATACAGAGATGTGCAAATGTAAGAACAGACATGTATACACACAAACACATAAGCTCATACTCAGAAACATACACATACACATGGAATCATGTGCACACAATAAACACATATGCATGCATATGCGTACAAATATACACCCATAGGCATGCATACCCAAATCTGAAATACTCATGTGTGCTCACAGTATACCATCATGAATATACCATATTCTCGTACACATGTACACACATACACACCCTGTAGCCAGTTCCTAAACACACTCTGCACTAGCCCACGCACAACCTTCCTTCTTCCAGGAATACCTTGCCTCTGTATCCCCCAGTTAAAACTCCCCCATCAGGCTCCGTGTCTAAACACACGACACCAGCCTCCAACTCTGGAGGTTAAATGACCCTTGCTTGTGAGTTCCCGTAAGTTCCAAAAGCAGTACTGGAGCTCAGTCCCTTTCTCTGTCTCCTGCAGAAGGAGCTGATGGGCGCTTGTCTAACGACTCCCAAGGACAATGCCTGGTTGATTCCTCTTTATGCCTTTTGCTCTAAGCACAGGATCTAGCATCAATTAGAAGCTAAATGAAATCTGCTTAATTAAGCTGCTAAATTAGTTGTCATCAGGCCCCTGAAGGGATGAGATGTTGAACAGGCAAGTTTTTGATATGCTTGAAGGAACATGCTAGAAAAATGTTCCTCAGTATGTGGCACATGGACCAGCGCCAGCGCAAACTGCCAACCGACCCATGTTGATTGAACAGTTTGGATTAAAAACTAAGGGTTGATGCTGGGCGGTGGTGGCGCACACCTTTAGTCCCAGCACTTGGGAGGCAGAGGCAGGTGGAGCTCTGTGAGTTCAAGGCCAGCCTGGTCTACAGAGCGAGATCCAGGAAAGGCGAAAAGCTACACAGAGAAACCCTGTCTCAAAAAAAACAAAAAAACAAAAAACAAAAACAAAAAAAAAAAACAACAACTAAGGGTTGGTGTGATGGTTTTGTGGGTAAAGGTGCATGCTGTCCACCCCGAGGACATGTCCTACATGAGAGTTGTACTCTCATGCGCATGCATACACAATAAATAGATGAAATACATTTTTAAAAATCTGTGTCATGTCCCAAAGTGCATGTACTCGGTGGAACACTGATCTTGTTTAAAATTAGTTAGTTAGTTAGTTATTGGTTTTTGAGACAGGGTTTCTCTGTGTAGCCCTGGCTGTCCTGGAACTCACTCTATAGACCATGCTGGCCTCAAACTCACAGAGATCCATCTGCCTCTGCCTCCCAAGTGCTGGGATTGATGGCATGCATCACCACTACTCAGCTCTTTTGTTTTTTTAAGTTATTTATTTATTTATTTTTAAAAGATTTATTTATTTATTATGTATACAGTGTTCTGCCTGCACGTATGCCTGCAGGCCAGAAAAGGGAACCAGATCTCACTGCAGATGGTTGTGAGCCACCATGTGGTTGCTGGGAATTGAACTCAGGACCTCTGGAAGAGCAGCCAGTGCTCTTAACCTCTGAGCCATCTCTCCAGCCCCCTTAAGTTATTTATTTTTTAAGATAATATAATTACTACACTTCTCCCTTCTCTTCCCTTCCTCCAAACCCTTCCATAAATCCCTTCTTTCTCTTTTTCAAATTCATGGCCTCTTTATTCATTATTTTTGTTATATACACAGTGTGTATACATATATATTCCTAAACACATAAATGCAATCAGTCTGTAAATGGTACTTGTATGCATGTTTTCAGGGCTGGCCATTTGGTATCGGAGAACCAGCTGAAGTGCTCTTCAGTGGGGGAGGCTGTTTCTCCTGCTTTCGGAATTCCTTAGCTGCCTGTAGTTCTTGTGTAGGATTAAAGCCTCCTGGCTTCCCCTCCCCACCCCTGCCCACTCTAACATGTCTATTGTTGTTATCCTTAGAGCACTAATGTTAAAAGACACTTGGAAAATGAAATACTGTTTAAGGAGCTAGAGAGGTAGTTCAGTGGTTAAGAATACTTGCTGCTTGCCGAGGACTCATGATCCCAGCTCCCCTGTCAGGCTCACTACTATCCTTGGGGAATCTGATGCCCTCTTCTGGCCTCTGTGGTCACTGCACTCATGAGAGCAGACACACACACACACACACACACACACACACACACACACACACACTTATACATAATACTTAAAATAAATCTTTAAAAATACTTTTTAAAAACCTATATTAATTTCCTCCTTCTTGAATTGAGAAAATGTTCCTACAAAATAATTACCAACTGAAGGAAGTAATGTGCTTCTAGTCTGGAGATATTTCTGAATCTCCTCATGAACTGGTAATAAATGAATCATGGACCAGAGTCTAGAGTGTCTCTCTCTGGTCTAGACTCCAGAGGCTGACAAATATGGCCACAAGACATTTATAGCCTATTGCTTGCTTTTGTAAATAGAGAGTGTATATGTATACAATGCATGTACCATGTACATGTTTAGAGGACAACCTTGGGTATCAGTCCTTGCCTCCCACCTTGTTTTGAGACAGGGTCTCTTCATGGCTTTTTCAATGTGTTAGCCAGGCTAGCTGGCCCATGGGCTCCCAGGGATTCTCCTCTCTGCTCCCAGCTCCCTGGAGAAGTCCTGGGGTTATGGATGTTTATACGACTGCACCCAGATTTTACCTAGGTTCTGGGGATTTGAACTCAGGTCCTCGTGCTTGCATGGTAAATGCTTTTGCCCTCTGAACCACCTCTCCTGTCCCATAAATAAAGTTTGTCGGCACACAGCCAATGCCCATTTGTGACACATTCCGCACAGCTGTGCTCACGCTGTAGCTGGTGGGGCTGAGCAACTGAGAACCATGGCATGGCCCTGTACACAGCCTGTTTCACCTTTCCCAGAGACCACCTTGAGCAAGCCTGTCCACTCTCTGGGCCTGAGTGGCTTCATTCAGATGTGCACCGAGTCACTGGCCACGTTTCCCGCTGGCTCCCACTTTCTTTCTTGAGAAAGCCCATGGGGATCAGGTGGCCCCCCCGCTGTGAGTCCCTGAACAGCAAGACCAGCCTGCCCTCCTCACCCTCGCCCCTCACCAGGGTCTGGACCTCTGGCACAGCCTCTTCAGGGGCTGTTTCAGGTTCTGGCTCTGGGTCTGGCTGAGGTTCTGGCTCCAGCTGGGGCTCTGGTTCAGGTTCTGGCTTTGCCTCAGGCTCCAACTCTGGTTCTGGCAGTGGTTCTGTTCCCTCCTCGGTCTTCTGAGGGGTCCCTGGAGGCTGAGGCAGCACCTTCTGGACCCAGCCCAACATCCTGATGCCTGTAATGGAGAGAGTCTTTAAGGGCACCAGAATGCTCACAGGCACGCTCCTCATCATGGCCACATTGTGGGCTGCATATGCCCTTTACCACACCTCATCTTTAAAAATATTCCTGCAGCAGGGCTGGAGAGATGGTATCATGGTTAAGAGCACCAGCCGCTCTTCCAGAGGACCCATATTTAGTTCCCAGCACAGTAGCTACACAGCAAGTAGCTCGCAGACACCTATAACTCCAGATGCATGAGATCCAATACTTTCTTCTGGCCTCTATGAGCATCCACATATACATGAAATATGCACACATACACATTAAAAATTAATCTTTAAAAGAGTTTCTGCAATTATGAGCATCCCCCTTTCCACCCTAGCCCCAGGAATGCGTATCTGCTTCCTGCCCCTGCAGTCTGAATTCCAGAATGTAGAATTCCAGATATAGAAGTCCCAGAATTTCTATATCATGTGTGGCCTTTGAGTATGACCTCTTTTATTTAGCACATGCATTTGAGATTCTTCTGTGTTCCTCTCACTAATTCATTTACCTCTCTTGTGGAGTAGTATTCTATGGTATGGATTTTGCATACTTTGCTTATCCATTTCCAAGCTGAGGGAACAATTTTGGGGGGATTTCAAATAAAGCATACATAAATAAAAATATTTCTGCAATGTTATCAGAGGCTCGATACTGGAAAGAATCTGAATGCTCCTCATGGGTAAGGTCTGCATTAAGTAAACTGCAATGCAGCCAATAATGGGGAATGTGGGACCGTCAGAGAGGAGGAAGTACATTCATGTGAACAGGAGAGGAACGTGCTCTAGCATTGTCATGAGCAGATCAGTTAGACTCCCTTTGTCTCTGTTTGCCTGTATGTAAAGTGGGGGCCCTGAAGCCAGGCATGGTGGTACCCACTTAGACTCCAGCATTTGAGCAGTGGAGGCAGAAGGACCAACCAGCAGTTCCAGATCAGCCTGAACAAAAAACAAGCAACATTGATAGTCCTTACCTTGTGAGCAGAGTGTGAGGATAAAATCTATTAAGATAAGCCAGGCATGGTGGCACACACCTTTAATCCCAGCAATCAGGAGGCAGATGCAGGTGGATCTCTGAGTTCCAGGCCAGCATGGTGTACAGAGTGAGTTCCAGGTAGCTAGGAACATAGAGAAACCCTGTCTCAAAAAACCAAGAGACAAGCCGGGCGGTGGTGGCGCACGCCTTTAATCCCAGCACTCGGGAGGCAGAGCCAGGCGGATCTCTGTGAGTTCGAGGCCAGCCTGGGCTACCAAGTGAGTTCCAGGAAAAGCGCAAAGCTACACAGAGAAACCCTGCCTCGAAAAACCAAAAAAAAAAAAAAAAATCCAAGAGACAGAGACAGAGAAACAGAGAGAAAAGCAACATTCTCAGACCAGTGACTGAGCCTCCACTTAATTTTGAGTTATCTGTTCAGACATCAGCTGCTAGCCAGTGACTGGCCCATGCTAAGGGCTTCATAAAGGTGGTCATGACTACAGGGGCAGGCGCTGAGTGCCAGCACAGACTGTGGAATGCCCTATGCTGCAGAAGCCCATGACAGAAAGGAAATACTAGGGACTTATTAACAGAAAGTCTGTATTGTCTAAGATAACACTAACCAGGTGCTTTAATCCCAGCACTAAGGAGGCAGAGGCAGGTGGATTTCTGTGAATTTAAAGATAGTTTGGTCTACATAGCAAGTTTCAGGCCAGCCAGAGCTACACAGTGAGACCCTGTCTCAAAATTAAATAAACAAATAAATAACAGCATTTATCATTTTTTTTTTTAACTTTGAAGATAAAATGCCAGTTGGACCTCTGTCACAGTTGATAATGACATTCCGACCAGTTTCTAGCTCATTGATGTTAAGCAAATGGGGAGCCAAGCTCTGTGACACCAAATTCCCGCAGGACGGCTCAGGGGCACCATCCAGGCTGACATGTAGACAGGACTGTGCCAGGCCACCCAGGACACAAGCCTACCCAAGGTTTTATCTCCCTTTCCCGTCTCTGCCTGGACCCTTGAAAAAAGTAGCCGCCTGGCCAGGGATCCCTGCCCCAGTGCCGGCTTCCCAGAGCCCCTGCTGAGCCGCTTGACCTCTGACTCAGCTCTGGCTCAGCTTCTCCCAAGGACAGCCTCGATGGAGACAGAGCTTAAGCTGTGGATTCAGATCAGATACAGGAAAGTGCCCGGGGCCAGATATAACCACTGAGTTCTTCTAGTTCCCAGCTGGCTGGGGGTGTGTGGACACAGCGACTTCCTCCCAAGGTCACATGTTTGGGATGTCAGAATGCACAGACCCCAGCCAGCGACTGGCAGCCCCGGGAACCAGACCTGAGGAAAGCCCTCCTCGACACCTGCTCCCACATCCCTCTGATAATACTCATTCTCCTGACCATCTTGCCCTCCCCTACTCCCTGTAAGGGGCATAGCTATCCTCAGGCCAATGGAATTAGCTAAGGTGGCTCCGGCCAAGATGAGTTCACTCTCAGATCTGCCCTTAGGCCCTGACTGCCTTCTCTTGGACTCTACTGTAGGACCAGTGGGCAATAATCCTGGCTTGCATTTCCGAACTGTCTGGAAATTACTAGGGAAGTTGCCTCCTAGCCCAGGTTTCCCCTGGATGGGAGTTTGGAGGCCCGTCTTGCTGCCCTCCAACTTGAAAGAGGGAGGCTGAGGCAGGAAAAGGACCTGGGGGTAGCCACCCAGAAAACTCTAGTGTTGAACCACCAGCATTCTGAGAATCTTCTGGGGAGCTAGAGAAAATATAGATTCCTAGGTTCTCCCAAACCCTATGGGGATGTCAAGTCTACATTTCTCGGGCTGCCCCAAAGCTACCAAAGTCTAAGCCATGGGAGGAGGCACCACAGACTTTCTGCCACATCTACTTCATCTCCTAAATGCCTTGCTAGAAGGTGAGCATGGGGGTCTCCCAAGGAGTCCTGCTGAGCTCCCACTTCATTTTGAATTACCTGTTCAGATGTCAGCTGCTAGCAGGAATTGCCTTCTCAATGTCCCTGCAGCTGGCCTCTCAGACACAGCCAGGATTAATTGGCATGGGCCGGGTGCAAAGGATTAGCATGTGCAGAAAGGGGGGCAGGGTAGAAAGATGACTGGTGCCCAGGGAAGCCAACAGCAAGTTGTGTCCAACAGGAGCCTGGATACAAGGTTTAGGGCCCTATGCATGGCTAGGAAAACTGTCCCAGTGCCGGGGCCCGGCTTCCCACACACTGACAAAGCCAGAGAGAGGCTGTCGAACAAGGAACAGCCTGGATGCCTGTGTGGTTCTGGGAGGTTCCTCAAGATGACAGTAGCCCATCAGCTCAGTCAGAGGGACAGGTGTGTGTCCGTACTCTCCAGCACCCGTGCTGGGACTCAGCAGGCTCTCTGGAGAGTCTTTAATAGCTTGAGCTTTATGGCAAGAACCATTGGCCCAGGACAGGGCCTTTAGCCAAAATCTGTATTTATCAGCATTTCCAGAGAAAGAGAACCAAGAAAGTATGAAGTCTCAGGACCAGAAGGCCTAGGATACAGTCCCAGTCAGATGTCTCAGGCCTCAGAGTCCCTGAAGGGTGGCTAGTGCAAGACACAGCATCCGAGGTGGCCAAAGGACCCAGACTCTGAGGCCAAGGCCAGCAGCAGCAGGAAGAACCACACCCACTTAAGGAAGAAGAGTCGGAGACAGTTTCTCCTCTTTCCACTGTCCTATTCCCTCCCAGACACTAACCAAGCAGATAGTTCCAACCCACACAGGGGGGTGAGTCTTCAGTTTGATGACCTACATGCCAATCTTGCCTGGAACACTCTCCCAGACACACCCAGAAGTCATGACTTACCAATTCTCTAGGCATTCCTAATCAGCCAAGTTGAAACTCAAAATTAACGGTCTTGACCATTACAGGTTCCAAGGCCTGGCTGATAACTGACCGAATTGGTAAACTGAGGCTGGACTCTCAGAAGAAATACAGATCCAGGAGGAGGGAGGTGCAAAGGGCAGTGGCTCAGGGCAGAGGGGCTCTATGAGGTGGTGGCACCTGGGTTGGTTCCGGGTCACAAGACGTTCAGTAAGGGGCAGACACTTAACCTGACCATCCGGGACAAATTTTTGGAGCTCTCACGGTGTGCCTAGCTGTGAGCCAGCCTGTAGCCTGTTGAATGAAACTAGTTTAGGGCTTCCTCTAAAGCCCATTGACCTATTGCACCAGGGTTACTGAACACAACACCTTAAACCAGGTAATTTACAAGGAACAGAAATGTACTGTTCACCGTTGCAATAGAAGATCAAAGCCATAGAAGAGGTGGTGCCTGGGAAGGGCTCGTTCCCCGTAGGTGGTGATGGCTATGTGGTCCAGACACACCACAGTTTGTGTCTGACTCCTGGCCATGGGCACCAAGCTTGTTTCCACCTTTTGACTACGATCCACACTGCTCTGAGTATCTGTGTGCAAGTCTTCACAGCACGTGTTCACTTCTCTCAGACGGTTTCTAGGGTAGGCTCTTCCATACGAAGCAACCATATTGTAAACTTCCCTTCCTTGTTGTTTGGGTTTTTCAGAGACAGGATGTTGCTAAAATTCCTTCCCTGGAGGAAACATAAGCAACTTCTGTTCCTCCTCTCCCAAGGTCCCAATAACAAACCCAACACAATTCCACCAGAGTTCACTCTGGGGGAACCAATGCATTTATCAGGCTTGCGTACAGAGCATGGGCGAGGGGTTATTTCTGGAGTGTGGGTGCTCCTCCCCCAAGAGTCTACAGCAGAAAGTCTTTTCCCATACTTTCTTATAGTTGCATAGATGAGCAGCTTTGCTGGCCTGCCCTAGGAGGGTTTTCCCTCACCTAGAGACTCCAGCCCCTCTGAGGCCATGTGCAATTAGGTCAGAGTTGCACATGGCAGATGGTAGAGAGTGGCTGGATACACACAGGTGAGAATCTTGTGACATGCCCCCTCATCCCACCCAGGATGTAAATTGTCAGCCAGGCCAGCGGAGATAATCTTTTGCAAATTGGCACAGCAGAACTCCCCAAGATGGCAGCTTTTTGGCTGGGAGGATAGTTCAAAACAACACAGGCTCACACACCATGTAGCCATGGCTGGATTTGAACTCAGCCTCTGGAGTGCTGAGGTTGTAGCTGTATGCCAGCATGCTTATTTCATATTCCACTTTTTAAGATACCACTAAACTCTTTTGCCAAGTTAGTGTCTGGACCTGAGTAGCAGTTACCAGTGTTGGGGGTGGAGGATATGTCTCAATTTATAAATTACTAAATTATGTGTTTATATGCCTTCTGTATTTTTTTAAATTTTGGGTTTTTTGAGACATGATAACTCTATGTAGCCCTGGTTGGCCTGGAACTCACTATGTAGACCAGGCTGCGCCTGAACTCACAGAGGCTTGCCTCTACCTCCTGAGTAATGTGATTAAAGGTGTGCGCCACTAAGAGTTGGACCTTGTGGGGCAGTGGTGGCGCACACCTTCAATCTCAACGCTCAGGAGGCAGAGACAGGCCAATCTCTGAGTTTGAGGCCAGCCTGGTCTACAGAGCGAGTTCCAGGACAGCCAGGACTACACAGAGAAATCCCATCTTGGGGAAAACAAACAAACAAACAAAAACAAAACAAAAAAAAAAAGAGTTGGTCTTTAGGTTAGGGTGCTAATCGGGGTCAGCACTGGGCAAGTTTCTGTATGAGGAAGTCTTCCTTAGGTTCCTGGGTCCCTAAGGAGCAGCACCAAATCTTACAAGAGTCTAACAGCAGGGAATTCTGAAAGGCATGTAAGTATATGCAAACCATATGCCAGTATATGCAAAAGAATAGGCAGCCCCAGGATTCCAAACCTTGGGATGTCTTGTTCTAAACCCAGGACTTTGAGTTCTGAGCTAGGATATCAACAGCCTGGGAAGGAGGGAGGCTGCAATTCCCCAGGCAGTGAGATGGAGTGGAACGGGGGTGGGGGGGTGGGGATGTGAGGGGTGGGGGGGTGCGCAGAGTATCACCTGCTAATCCCTGGCCTGCTGAGGCCACCACTCTGCCTGATCCCTGCCCTGACCCTGGAGCCTGGCTAATCTCCACCCACAAAGACCAAAGACAGCTTGGCATCCTCTTCCTTGAGACAGGATGGGGACAAGAGGCTCTCCAGGCTCCCAAGCAGCCCTGTTGCAGAGCCTAGGGTCCCTGCCTAACACAAACAGTGCTTTTGGGGGCCAGAGAGAGGCAGTAGTACTAGAGTGTCACTGTCCTAGTTAGGGCTATTATTGCTATGATGAAACACTAAGACCAAAGCAACTTGGAAAGGCTTTATTTGGCTTCCACTTCCAAACCCCTGTTCATCATTGAAGGAAGCCAGGATAGGAACTCAAACAGGGCAGGAGCTGATCCAGAGGCATGGAGGGCTTGCTCTCCATGGCTCGCTTATCCTGCTTTCTTTTTTTCTTTTTCTTTTTTTTTTTTTCCTAAGATTTATTTATTATGTATACAGTGTTCTGTCCACATATATTCCTACAGGCCAGAAGAGGGCACCAGATCTTATTTCAGATGGTTGTGAGCCACCATGTGGGTGCTGAGAATTGAACTCAGGACCTCTAGAAGAGCTGCCAGTGCTCTTAACCTCTGAGCTATCTCTCCAGCCCTTATCCTGCTTTCTTACAGAACCCAGGACCACCAGTCCAGGGATGGTACCACATACCATGGGCTGGGTTCTCCTCCATCAATCACCAATTAAGAAAATGCTCTACAGTTGCCTTGTGGTGGTGGCGCACACCTTTAGTCCCAGCACTCAGGAGGCAGAGGCAGGCAGATCTCTGTGAATTTGAGTGCGTTCCAGCAAGGTTACACAGAGAAACCCTGTCGAGAAGGGGGGTGGGGGGGGGAATGCTCTACAGGCTAGCCTATAGCCCAATCTTCCGGAGGCCTTTTCTCAATTGGCATTCCCTCCTCTCAGGTGACTATAACTTGTGTCAAGCTGAGCTAGCAAGCACAGTGACACGGCCTTGAGTGGGCCCAGCAACTATCCCTGCCCTGGTGTGGCCAGGTCACCTCCATAGAGCCCCAGCTCTGACATTTCCTAAGATGCTTGGCTGGTGTGGCAGCCATGGAGACCCCAAGCTTCAGGGACTGGGTGTCAAGTGCCGAGGGAGCTCTGCAGCCTGTGTTGACAGGGTTACCTGGGAGCTGCAGCGTCCTCACAATCAGGCTGCAGTGGTCATTGTCTCTGTGGTGCTCCTCATCCCGCAGCTGCCCACAAGGCCTGCCCGTCTCCCTTCCTCTGCCCGCGGAGCAGCAGAAAAGGAGAAGGTCCTTCCCTGCCTGTGTACCTGGGCCTGGGCCCTGCAGACGAGGTAGTAGTGGCTGTGGGTAGATGACTGCAGGGAGCGCTCTTCCTTTCTCTCTGTTCTACCCTCCTGCCCTTCCTCATGTAGCGTCGTCTCTGAGACAGCTTCCCATACTTTATCACCATGCCCCTTCCTGATCCTCCACGGTCAAGTTCCTCTCTTCTCCTGCCTACCTAGCTCCCATCTCCATCTCTCACCTCTAACTTGGGGGTCGGGGAGTAAAATCAACACATTCTCACTAAGGCGTAAATAACTAAAGGGGGATTCCAGGGTATGTCTGCTTTTTAAAAGAGAGGCACTAGGTAGACATTCATTTTTTTTTCTAATTCAGATCTGTCATGTTTCTCCCCCTTTAAAACAGTCTCATCTATCTGTAGCATTTAGGGAAAACGCTAGATATAGCCAAGAGTTGGCTACCTAGTGTCACAAGCCACACAGCATTCTAAGCTACATCCTAAATGGCTTTACTGTGGCTTTTTCCTGTTCAATATTTAAGTTTCACCTCACAATTCCTGGGGTACCCCAACTTCAGGCCTCTCAGACCCACACACACTCTGTGCTGACCTCCCTCATAGCCCTAGGTGCAGTGTGTGTGTGTGTGTGTGTGTGTGTGTGTGTGTGTGTGCAGGCACACATATATCTGTTGTTTGGATGTCCCTGCTGCCCAAGTGGAGTTCCTGAAAATCACCGGGCACACAGAAGATAATCAGTGCTTGACGAAAAGTTAAATCAACACAGGCCAAGAACATGTGCCTATATGGAAGGGCATCTAACTCAACCCCTCTGCTCCCCAGCGATGGCCCGCATCATCGACCTGGAGCCCTGGGACGATGGCTCCGCCCACGTGTACGCTTCGCCAGCCATCCTCCTCCCGATAGAGCGCGTGCGTAACCCACTTGCCGGCGTGAAGCACCAACTCTACCACCCCATCCTGCCCACCCTGCGGCGCATGGATATGGACACTGTCAAGGGCTGCCTCTCGGATGAGCACTCCCAGTCTTCCACCTACTGCTCCAAAGGTCAGGCCATGTGGCCACCCGCAGCTCAGGGTCTCCCGTTTGCCTTTGGAGCAAGGGTTGCTCGCAAGATAGAGATCTTGGCGGAAAAGGCTGGGGGCAAGTGAAAGAATGATAGAGGTCGGTCCAGCTCTCTACTCCCTTCCAGAAAGTTCCTCCAAGGTCTGGCCTCTACTTCCTGAGTAGAAAAATGGAGAGCGTACAGAGTCTGCCTCCCCGGGCTATGTGAGGCAATATGAACTAAGGGTGAGGAGCAGGTTGCCTGTACTGCATGGCTGATCAGCAGATGACCCTGGGCTGCTGCTGTGGGTGGCAGTGTTCTTTTATTTCCTTTAGGTTTTAACAAAATAGGGTTTCTTTGGCTTGCAATTCTGGAGGTGTCTCCCCTACTGCATCGCAACATGTAGCCCAGGCTGGCCTTAAACTCTGCTCCTCCTGTCTCAGACATGCCTGATCTTCTTACTGGCCTGTCATGGGGTAGAGGAGGGCTCAAGCGGTGCGTGTGCGTGTGCGTGTGTGTGTGTGTGTGTGTGTGTGTGTGCACATAGAATTCAGAGAATGACCTCAGGTGGTGTTCTTCGGTTGCTGTTCGTCAGCTAGCTAGACTGGCTGGCCAGAACACATCGGGATCCTCCTGTCTTTTCTCCCCACACTATAAAGACAAGTGTGCACCACCACGCTCAGCTTTTTATGTGGGTGCTGGGACCAGAGCTTGGTCCTCGTGTTTATACAGCCAGCACCTCACTATCTGAGCTACCTCCCCATGCCATCCTTTCTTTGAGACAATGACTTGCTGTGTTGTCCTGGCTGGCCTTGAACTCCTGGACTCAAGCTATCCTCCCTGTTCAACTTCTGGATCAGCAGAGATTGGTGGCCCACAACCACCACACTCAATATAGAAACACGGTCTTTTGCTCTTTCCCTCTGTCCACCCCAAGGTCTGTTCAGTGCGTTTGTATTCACACGCCATCGCTCTGGCTTTCCTCCCTTTCTCCATCTGTCTCTCTCCCCATCTCTCTCCTGTACCCCCTTTCCTCTCCCTCCTCCTCATCTCCTTTTTCTTCTCTCTCTCTCTCTCTCAGACACACACACACACACACACACACACACACACACACACACACACGTATGCAAAGCTTTGCCAGGTAGTTCCCAATGGCAAGAACAGCCTCCTTCATGACAGGATACCATTACCATATCTAGGAAAGTTAACAACACCACAATATCTCTTAACCAACACACCTTAAAATCTCCCCTGGAGGCCGGGTGGTGGTGGTGCATGCCTTTAATCCCAGCACTCCGGAGGCAGAGCCAGGCGCATCTCTATGAGTTCGAGGCCAGCCTGGTCTACAGAGTGAGATCCAGGACAGGCACCGAAACTACACAGAGAAACCCTGTTTTATTTAATTAATTAATTTACAGATTTATTTATTTATTATGTATACAGTATTCTGCTTGCATGTATGCCTGCAGGCCAGAAGAGGGCATTAGATCTCATTACAGATGGTTGTGAGCCACCATATGGGTGCTGGGAATTGAACTCAGGACCTCTGGAAGAGCAGCCAGTGTTCTTAACCTCTGAGCCATCTCTCCAGCCCATATTATGGGTATTTTTATGTGGTTAAATAATAGTATGATATCTTTATTGTTATTCTATCCCTCCCCCCTCTATCTGTGTTTACCCCCCCCCCCATCAATGGCCCTCTGTTTCTCCCACTTCCTCCTTCACCTCACTTGTACTCTGTTTCCTTCTCTGTCACCTCCCACCTGTGTTCTCTTCTTATTTTCCTGGTTTCCGTCGTTACTCCAGGTTATGGACTCCCATCCAAAGACCTGAAGCTAGAAACTTCAGAGGAGAGAGAATGTGTGGCGTTTATCTTTGTGGGGCTGGGTTACTTCACTCAACTTGATCTTTTCTAGTTCCATCTGTCTACCCAACCAGGCCCTGGAGAACCATGTACTATTGACTTTTGACCTTTTTGTTTTGTTTTGTCTTTTTGTTTTTCAGGACAGGGTTTCTCTGTGTAGTCCTGACTGTCCTAAAACTTGCTCTGTAGCCCAGGCTGGCCTCAAACTCACAGAGATCCGCCTGCCTCTGCCTCCCGAGTGCTGGGATTAAAGACGTGCGCCACCACTGCCCAGCTTCTGTCCCAGGTTTATAGAGGAATTTGTCCACATTTTTTTCTAGTACTTCTAAGTTTTCATATTGATCTCTATTGAGTTTTATTGTAAAAGATATCGATATTGTTTTATGGTTTTTTGTTTTTGTTTTTGGGTGTTTTTTTTTTTTTTTGGCTTTTTGAGACAGGGTTTCTCTGTGTAGCTTTGTGCCTTTCCTGGAACTCGCTTTGGAGACCAGGCTGGCCTCGAACTCACAGAGATCAGCCTGCCTCTGCTTCCCGAGTGCTGGGACTAAAGGCGTGTGCCACCACTGCCCGGCAATATTGTTTTATCTTAAATGTATAAAAACTAACATTGTTTTTTTCCTTTGAGACAGACTCTCACTATGTAGCCCTGGCTGGCCTCGAACGTGATACGTAGAATCAGGCCAGCCTTGAACTCCTGAGAGCTGGGAGTAAAGTCATGTGCCACCACACCTGGCAAAACATTTTTCTCTTAAGGTGCATAGTGTGGACCTCTAGTGTGGGCCTGTAAGGGTTCCCGAAAGAGACAACTTTATCATCTTTCAACAGATGACTTTAACAAGGCCCACTTCACACTCCTGGGAGTCCCCAACAAACCTCTGCAATGCCTGGTGAGTGTCCTTTGTCTTCAGCCCTGGATGGGCTCAGTAGCACCAGTCTGTACCCGGGCCCAGGCATCTCTGGTTCAAGGCCTTAATGCCTGAGCATATAAGCTGCCTATCTGGGACTTCCACGCCAATCCAGGCCCTGGTTTCCTGCATTCCCTTAGTTCAATGGGCTTAATGTCAGCTCAGGCCTAAGAAGCGCCCCAGGATCTTGCATCTGCCATTCCGATCCATCATTCCGTAGGACTTCACAGCGACCGGCCGGAAGCTCTGCCACAAGTACCGCGAAGGGAAGATGGTGCCCATCGCGCCAGGCATCAACCGGGTCGACTGGCCCTGCTACACGCGTGCCATCGAAGATTGGTCTAAATTCGTGTCCAGGTCCGGGGAGTTCAAGCTGCCTTGCGCCAACAAAAGGGGTCAGTCTACCAATCACAAGGGGCGCTCTTGAGAGGAGGGGATCTCCTGCAGTTCGGTGGCGCGTCGAAAGCAAGGATGAGGTTCATGGGTCCAAGGACCAGCAACGCAGGCACAGGGACCGGGGTGGGGGGTCGGGGAAGCCGCTGGGGCTGGGCCTGAGAGACTAGCAGGGCTCGGGTGGGGCGGGGCTTAGATGAGGGCGGGCCAGGTTTGTTCGGATCTAGGTCCCCAAGGTGGGTTCTCTCCACAGTGGAGAGTTTCAGTGGCTACGCGGTGCGGTACTTGAAGCCTGACGTGACCCAGAACTGGCGGGTAGGGAAGGATGCACGCTGACCCGGCCGGGGTGGCTGGGAGGGAGTGGCTGCTTGGGTCCGCGCCCTGAGGGCTTACGGGTCCCCATCCCTGTGGCCCGCCCCAGTACTGCCTCAACCAGAACCCCAGCCTGGACCGCTATGGACAGAAGCCCATGCCTTTCGACTCGCTGTAAGTGATACCACGCAGGACCCCTTCGGGACCCCAATCCCTGAGCAGGGGAGGGGGATCGTAGGTGTTGGGTAGATACTTAATTTCTACCAAATCGGCACCTGTCAGCGGGTGCCTGGCACCTTCAAGCTCTGGGAGCCGAGTTCAGCAGGATTCTTCTCCGTTCTTTTTGCAGGAACGCATTCCGACGCTTTGGCTCCCACTACAGGTAGACAATGGCCCCGCCCTGGCCGCAGCCGGTCACGCCCCCTGGGGGCGGGGCCTGAGGATGCTCGACCAGCGCTCAACCTGTAGCTTAGTGGGCCGGGGCTAGGGGTGCATTTCCCACCAGGATTGGCCCAGAGGAGGCCGGAAGGTGGGGGACCTGGGAGAATGGAGAAGGAAGGAACTGCCATCTGCTTCCCGCTGCATGGTAGCGCCCCCAACAGGGTCAGATACAAAGTGGAAGTGCTGATGAGAAACTCTAATGCATCCCTCCAGCCTCACCCTGTGCGGCAGACTCCGTGGTGCGAGACACACACACACACACACACACACACACACACACACACACACACACACACACACACACACACACCTGCCCCCACTCGCACAACCATACACTCTGTCTCTCCCTACAGCACACACTCCGCTTCACCTCTAGCTTGTAGCATCCAGAGTGTTGCCCCTTCCTATTCCTGAAAGTTGCCTTCCCCCAGCCCATACACAGAAAAACTTTGGGTTTTGTTACTGTGTGATGCCAAAGTAGATTCGTACATGATTGAAAACCCATGAAGCAACTGACGTTGAGGAGTCATTGGGAAATAGTATGAGGTAAATTAGAGATGAAGAAAATAGCCAAAAACATGCAAAAGGAAATAGGGAGCCATTGAAGGCTCTTGGGCACATAGCCTAGATGGAAACTGTTTTTTAGATCCTTGGGGGTAGAGAGGTGGGCTTTGGGGTGGGGATGGAGTGAGGGAAGAAAAACGTGAGTTTTCTTCAGGGCACTCTGGAGTCCTCATCTCACCTCTCTTTCTCTCCACAGTCGCGTTAACTATCTGACTCCCTGGCATTAATCTGTGGGGGGGGAAAGGCTGATCCCTCTGTGGCTGGACTGTGCCACCTCAGGTCCCCTAGCAGGACATAGGGCATACGGTGGCACCACCCATCTCCCCAGGAGTTCAGTTCAAGAAATAAACATAATGCTTCTTTGGAGAGGTCGGAGGCCTCTGTGTGTGTGTGGGGGGGGTGGTCTGGGGAAGGGTCAGGAACACAGTTGATAGTGTATTACCCTTGTCTGCTCTTCGCCAACTCCTGGGGAATGGGAAGAGGGTATGTAGGGGCTGGTGAAGGATGTCTTGTGGCCTTGGGTAGACTGTCAGCACCTAAGCCTCAAGTCTAGCTGGGGTTGAGGCACAGGCAGGCTGGGATCTGGGCTTCTCTTATGCTCCTGGTCCCTTACTTGTGACCCCTAACCAAGATCCTGAATTTGCAACCTCCACCTGAGTTTGAGCACTACGAGAAAAGGAGGGGCCAAGAGAGGGATCTGTGACACCTCCCTGGAGTCCTTACCATACTGGTGTGCTTTGGGGGTTCCTGGTACCCAGCGCTTCCCTGCAGGGAAGTGAGCAGATTAGCCTTGTACCATCTATTCCCTATGAAGCAGCAGGTTTCAAATATAAACTTGGATGAGGTGTGTGAGAACATTCTGGGCTCTTCAAGGCACTAGAAATTTATCGCCTAAATAGAAGGCCATTTGCTCTACTAGCCCTCATTTTTCCCTCAACATACACCCTAGTCCTGAGCCCCTTCTGTGATAGTGGCCATGATGGCTTAGGTGCAGGGGAACCCCCAGTGAAGAGGGTCTCACAGCCTAGTGCTAGGTTAGGGCAGCTGGCATCTGTACATAGCTCCTGGGCCTTCCATGCCTCACCCCGCCAGAGGGCAAACTGCAGGGAGAGGTCCCAGTTGGGACAAATAGCCACTAAGCTCAAGAACTCAGAATGGGATTTCTGTTCCTGGAGTTTCCCTGGAGTCTGAGATACCCCCGAACTTGAAATCATGTTCGAAGTCACATGTCCACATGCCGTTGTGTCTTCCAAGGATAGACCCCTTGTTTTCGTCTTATCCTCAGCAAAGTTGGCATCCATAGGGGTTAGGAACGCATCACTCACTCCCTTTCCTTCCTGAATCCACTGCACGGTGGCTGCATGCAAGGCTAAGGTCTCAGGAGGAAGGAATCGGGAGGAAAATGGCCTCACGGGTCAGAATACATCATCCTCTAGGATTTGGTGTTCTGCTGACAACAGGGCAGAGACATGGGGAGGATTTGCCTCCTTCATGCAAATCCAGTGGAGAGCTTTGGGAAGCCAATGGCAGAGCCACCTGGGGTGTTCCTTCCAAATGACAGAGAAGAAATGGACGTGCCCAAGGTTCCCAGCAGGGATGCTGCCGTCCTGCCTTGGGTGAGAATGGTCACAGGAATGCTAGCGAACACGCTGACTGGCAAGGAGGAACTGGGTGACTGGGATTTATTTAATTTGTTTTTTCTGGGCCTGCGTCCTTGACCCAGTCTGACTAGGAAAGTTCACCACATAATGTGGCCCAGCTTTGAGGCCTTTGCCTGGGCCAGCGATCTACTGAAGCTCAGGTGACACAGACAAGCGGCCACCCCGGCTTTACTAGTGTTTTGAGTCCAGTGGGAAAAACAGGTAGGCAGGCCAAGCCCTTTAAAGCCCAAGCCACATTCCTCTAGTCCAGGACGCCGCAAGGGTCAGCCCACAGCAGTAATTGAGGTTCCTGTCCACTGGCTGTGCATCTAACACCAACTTTATAAATACAAGAAACAGAAACTGTGCCTAAGAACTAAGGGCATAGAAAGCATAAGCAAAACCACTTGTGTACATACTTTTTATTAAGTTTTTAAGCGCTTCACAGTCCCCATGAGGTAAGTCGTTTAAATCCATTGTATAGCTGGTTAAGTAAATGGACTTGGGGCTGAAGAGGCTGAGTGCTGGCTGCTGCTCTGGAGAACCCAGGTTCAGTTCTCAGCACCCACATGGAGGCTCAAAACCATCTGAACTCTTAATTTCTGGGGATATAAGCCCCCTCTTCTGACCTCCAGGGGCACCAGGCACGCAGGTGGTGCACATACATACACGCAGGTAAAACACTCATTCACATACATCTAATAAATGGGCTTGAGGAAGGTGTGATTGCTGGGAATCGAAGGCAGTGGGATTGTGACCACTGCCTTCTACTTCTTTCCTGCTCCGACGAACAGGCCACGTGTGGGGAGGAAAGCACGGGGGCTTCCTGGGACTGGGGACAAAGACCAGGGCTTAGAAGGGATGTCCCATTAGAAAACTAAGAAGCCAAGGCATACACATACAGTCCCAGATGATCTGGAGGCTGAGGCATGACAAACAGCCCAGGAGTTTGAGACTAGCCTGAGAAGGACATTTGCTCTCAGTACTAGCAGTGGCTACTACCTCACGGCCTTGCCCTCCTCTTCAGGGGTTCATGGCTCATTATAAACAGATCCCATCAGAAATCTTTACTGCTGCTGTAACCTTGGGGATAGTGCAGACAGCATGACCTCATCTCTAGGCCTTTGGACCTGAACACAATTCAGTTCCCTGGCCTTTACCACAGACCCCAGCATGCCTCCTTGCTGGTCTGTCCTACCTTAGGATCTTGTCTCCCAAACTTTGTTCAAAGCCACATTTCCACCAGAAATGCTTTCCCCACCCCTTCCTATCCAATCTCAAAAGGCCTCACATGCTCCTCCTCCCGTTCTTCTCAAGACCACAAGCACAGGGGCCTCGGCTGTTTCAGGGGATTCACATCTCTGGCCAGTAGGGCTTGGTTGCCAGCTCCTTTTACCACCATTATGAGGTTCAGGAATGGGGTCTGGGGCCTCCAGAGCCAATGCAAGCACATTTGGACTGAATGAAATTTCTACTACAAAGGAACAGTAGTGTTTATTACAGAGCAACATGGGGAAGGTGCATCATAGTCCAGGGTCTGGGGCTGACAGCAGGACAGGCCCAAGTGAGATGGGGTGTGGTGAAGGTTCCAGTCCCAGATGTCAGTGGCCATTTTTGCTTTGTGTTTGCCTGTGGGTGCATGGACATGGGGAGACTAGAGGTCAACATCAGCATCTTCAATCACTCCCCACCTCATTTTTCGAGACAGGGTCTCACTGTACCCAGTGTTCACCAAATGGCTAGACTGACTGGTAGGAGCTCCAGGAATGTTCGTATGTCCTGTCAGTCCCCCACCTGTGTCCCCAGCCTAGGGTTACAACCATACAGGCTCTGGGCATCCCAACTCAGGTCCTCATGCTTGAGCAGCAGGGACCGCACTAACCGGGCCTTCTCCTCAGCCCTACTCCTTGATTCACGAAACCCTTTAAACTCTCATCTGCAGTTCTTGCTTTGTGCCTGAAAACAGCAGGTGCTCGGTTATGGTCGTGGAGGAACTACGGCAGGAATGCAGAGCCACGGTGGGGTGAGGACATAGTGGAGAGAGAGACCCCACAAGCCTGCCCCTACACAGACCAACGTTTACAGGACACGAAACCTCTGGAGATGTTGACTGACAGAAGCCAGGGCTCTTCCTGGGGGTGTGACCTCTCAGAAACAAAATGCTTGCTTCAGGATGGGACGCTGCAGACCTCATCACCAGAGTCTGGTCGGGGGGCCTTGGGTGGATTGCCACAGGGTCAATAGTCCAGGATGGGATGGGAGTCTGCTCTGGAGGAAGAGCAGGGTTATGAGCCAGGAAGGAGGTGCAGGCCCTTTAAGGACCCTCCTCTCTGCCTGCCTGGGAAGGTGGACAACAGTAGTTTGGATCTGTCAAGGAGCTAAACACTGGCTGGGGCAGGGGGAGCACTTTGTTGCCTTGATCCCCTAGCCAGATTGGGTGTCAGGGACAGTCCTAGCTAGAAAAGTGACCTGGAGCCAGAATGTCAGGGATGTCCTGACCACACTGCCTGTCTTGCACCTCTGTGCAGGTGGAACTCCAGGCCACTTACCACTGTGTGGCTTTGACAATCCCTGGGCCTCCAAATGGTCTGGACAAAGGAATGTTCAGGCCATTGCTGGCCACCAAGCAGTTTTATCTAGGCCACACCAGAAAACAAGCTGGGTCTTGAGCACGGCACAGACACAAAGGTCCCTTGCTGTTAGCTGCCGAGTGGTAGAAGCGACAGGAAGGAACCTCCTGGCTTCTCAGGGCCACACGGGGGATGAGAGAAGCATGGGGTCTGGGTCACAGTCTTAGAAACACTTGTGGTATAGGTAGCTCCATGTCCTTTGAACTTCCTACCTTTACCTAGGACAGGGCGCCCTTGGCTCTCAGATGCCAGGTTGAGGGCTATTTCTCCCCCTCTCTAGCCCCACCCTGACCTTTGAGAAATGCAAAGTATGTGAGTTGCAGACAGACTGCTATGGGCAAGAATGGAGTAAAAAATGTGTGGAAGGACTGAGGTAAAGGCACTGGGTTTGGTCTACCAAGGGATCACGGCAGGGCAGACCGAATGGTAGAGCAGGCTAGCTGGGCTAGGTGAGTTTACCACTGTTCCAGGAAGCACCTGAATAAATTGTTTTGCCATCTCCAGCTTCTGGCCTTTCATGAGCTGCTGGTTTCTCATGGTCCAGCTCCCTCCTCAAGGGCTATGGTTAAACCTTAAAGTCAGGTGGGGTGAGGTATATTGCACTTGGTTCCCATCAGCTTGTCCATAGCTTTCCCTCAGAGTCTCAACAATGTCTCCATGCAATTCTCACAACAGCGAGGTAAGTTAACCTCCCAATCTGTTTTTTGGTTTTTGACAGATGAGGCAACTGTGTCCCTAAGAGGTTAAGTGACCAGTCCAAGGTCACACAGCCTCAAAGCTCAGGCTTCAAGCCTAGCCCCAGCCTGCCACTCTGGCCTGTGTAAGCCTCTGCCTTTCCCATCGTTCCCTTTGGAAAGAAGAGGTGGGAGAGCTGGGGCGGCAGCGGGCCACGCTTTACTTCCAGAGAACACATCAAACTCACTGTGGGGTAACATCAACATGGCTGCCTAAAATGGAGTCATCCTTTGAAAAATTCCAAACTCTCATATTTATATATGATCCAAAATGACATGAAATTATGCTATACAATGTTATGAATAGTATAACAAACTGCTTTTAGAATGCA